TCCTCGACCTTGCAACAACCGTCGGTCGACCTACTCGTCCGACACTCGGCCGACCAATCGGGCCCCCGCCTATAGTTGCCTATATAAGACTTGTAGCCCGACCGGTCACCCGTGTCGATTCTGTTATCCTTGTGATTCCACTGTTCTTCCGAGGGTTGCCCGAATAGCAGCATCGGTCAACCCCCGTGCGTTCTCCCCCTAACTCCGCCTCCGCTTCCCGTTCGGACTTCGTACTTCGCCGGTCCCGTCACCCCGTACGACGGGCCCTTACAATACTTCTCACAATAGTTTGTAGCAGTGTGAGACCAGGTCCTCCGGACTTTGTTTCTGCCACACAACATTACAAGTGCCAACTCTAGTGCAAAGCGTTAGCCAGCGACCTGGTAAGCCTAAGCAGTCAATGCATAGGCCTGTGGTACTGACTGTCAGTGCCTCTTGTCAGCCGTAGCTCCTTGTTTCGCGATGTCATCGAAGCATACCCGCCGCGTCACGCGCTCCTCGAATGCTCCGGCACGCGCGTCGAATCTTCCGAAGCGGCCCCAGCCGAAGACTCCGCCCCGTAAGCGTGCGTCCACCACTCCCAGGTCCCCGACCGTCTCGAGCACCTCGACAACCCGCCAGAGGCGCGTGCCCATCAAGGAGGCGCGCCGTCTGTGCGCCGGCTCCAAGATGCCATACCACGTGCACGTAGTGCACCCGCGCCAACATCGCGACGGCAGCTGGGGTCTCCAGTACCACATTGGGCGCGCCCTCGTCGAGCACATGGTCCACTACAATGTCGTCGACAAGCGTGGCTGGCGCAAGGAGGTTGATGCGTGGCTTAAGAGTAAGCCCGAGATGACCGAGCAGCAGAGGAAGTGTCAGACGTGAGAACGGGTGAGGAGTAGTATAGCCTGTGCGAAAGATCGAAAGCAGCGCTGACTTGCAAGTCCTTAGTAAGCATCCGCCCTTGAGAAAACAAAACGCCTCGTTCGCCAGCAAAGACGTGAGCTCGCCACTGTTGTGGATCGGAAACCTCCCCACTAGGGCGAATAGTCGATTACTCGAAAATTCAAGTAACCAGGCTCAACTATCCAAAGCCAAGCTTCAAAATATCAAAGCCATAAACATGAAATATCGTCTCTTCTGTAGCTTTGTAGTGGTTATGCGGCATGTACAAGTGTGGCCGCCACTCTGATGAGTTGTCTTCTTGAAGCGTTCAAATCGAATCGGGAGATTTGTGGCGCGCTTACGCCTGGGTTTCCTATTTCTTGCCCTCTTCTCCCCACTTTCAACGCCATGTGCCGAAAGAAATCAATGCCCTATGAGAGCGGTTGTGAAAATATCAACGTCCCATGCCCTCACCCGCGACGGTTCTTGTTGTTGCACGTGCTACACGCTATACAGAATATCGTTGACAATCCTGCGATAGACAGAGCGGCAGTCCACCGAGACGCAGAGCCAAAGGGCAGGGCAATGCGTCTCACTAACGATAATCACTTGCAGATTACATAGACAACACAAGAATGAACTAGGGCAGCTGCCGGACCTGCGCCGCAGCGGCAGCCCATGCGTTTTTGTCGAGCGGCATCAGTCTCCCTAGCTCCTGGGCGACGATGAGAAGCGCGTTGGCCGCCTCGCCAGCCCGCACGCGTTCAGGATCGCCGGCAAGGTAAGCCGCGAACTTGCGCGCATGTGCGAAGGCACGCACAAGCGCACGCCGCAAATCCACCGGCTTGTCGGGTGAGTCGAGGTCGTCGAGCCGCGCAGCGATGGCGCGCGCGTGGCTAATGGCGTCGCTCGCGGCCTCCGCTTCAAGCAAAGCGGAAACTGGAGCCAGAGTCGCCACAAGGAGCGCCTCTAAATCTGGCGGAATGCGGGGTGGTCGCGGCGGAGATGAGCGCGGAAGTGATGCATGTGCCGGGTCATGCGAGGTTGGGAGGTGAATGGGGATGCGAGACGGGTGAGCGCAAGTGATGTTCTCGCTCCTCAGCTGAGTGATCGCTCGCGCGAGCTCGCCTGGCGGAGGGACGACAGATTCCGGTCCCCTCGGTGTGGAGGCGGCGCTATGTCGCTTCGGCGCGGAGATATTGTGCGGAAAGCACGTGGGTATGGAGCTGGACGAGCGGCGCCTTGGCAAGCTCTTCAACGCGGTCTGGAGCGCGACGGTTGTGGATGTCGAAGCCGGGACGGACTGAGGAACCCAAGCAGTGTACGCGTGCTGCTCCTGTGGAAAACGCTGCTCATGATGGGGTATGAGTTCGGCCACGCGATCAGCATTGCGCAACGCTCTCTCAGTCGTCAACAAATCCTCATCCGCGTCCATCTAGCGTCAGCAGCTGGCAGAGAGCGCGTTGTGTCGTTGTCCTCCTCCGTCACTAGCCGTCCGCCTCCCGCCTGCGTCTGCGCTAGCACTCACTATCTCCACGTCCAGCTCCATCCCCTCATCAGCGTCCAGCGCGACACCCGCCTCTCGCAGAAGGCGCAGCGCCCCTGCGCGCCCGACGAGGGTGCGCACCGCGCTCCCCTCCGCCAGGACCGCGAGATTGCGGTCGTGTGTCCAGAGGAGTACGGGAGCCGCGCGCCCAAACCATATGCAGCAGCTGAGGATCGCGTCGTCCTCGCGCGCCTGAATGCCCACGCCCTCGTGCGTATCTAACGCGGCGGCGATGCGCTCCGCGCGGCTCTCGATGCGCAGGCGCGACGCTCGCCCCACGCGCGGACCACGTATCGTCGTGTCCAGCCACAGCGTCGCTTCGCGCGCGGCTGCCGCGAGATCGGAGCGCGTGCTCTTTGACAATCCGTCAAGCTCTGATGTCAGTGCCTGCGCTGGCGACGGGAATATGGAGAGCGGTCATGGGAGGCCAAAGTCCGCGTACCATTGACGGCCTGCTGTCCGACCAGAAGGTATGTTGTGGAGCCTGCGGAAATCAGGCGCGCGTGTACCTCGCTCACAACCGAGAGCTGGTCGATGAGGACATTGGTGTCGAGGGAGATGAAGAGAGTTGCGCCATTGGCCGCGGGCCCAGCGGCCGCAGCCGCCGTGCCGTTTGAGCCGTTTACGGGGGAATGGAAAGAGGAGGTGCTTGGTGAGGTGTCTATGGGAGCGCCGTTGGGCTCCCACTCCATGCTGAAGTTGTCGACGAGCACAGAATGACGGGTGTTGTGGATTCAACTGATGACTCGAAATTGGGTCAACAAACCTCCACCTTGTGGAGGTGACATGTCCGCGCCAATCTTCGGAAAGCGGGCAATGGTCCATCGCAGGGCTTGTCTGGTGAACCGCAACGGCAGAGAAGTGCATGCAATGTCATTTAATGAGAGGTATACAGCACAGCCGACTACCACTCCACCTCGCGCCCAAACCTGTCCGCTGCCTTGGATCAGCCAGTCCTGTGAGCACACGTACCGCCTTGAGGGCCGCAGCGATCCCGGGCTCACTGGCAACGTGCCCTGCATCCGGAACAATGATGAGCTCGAGTGAGTCACCCCATGCCTTCTTGAGATCGTATGCGGAGCGTGGCTCTGTGTTAGTGCTCGAGCAGCGTGGCGCGCCAACCCCATTCGACCTACAGGGCAGATGATATCGTATCGCCCTTGGATTGCGACAGCCGGAATGTTTCGGCTGAAGTCAGCTCCCTCGCTGTCAGACGTACATCTTGCAGATGTTTTCTTCCTTGATAAGGTGCCCGTCAGGCATGAACCCCTGCTATTAGCTCGCGACGTATTCTTGCTGACGAGGTGGAAGAAGTAATGCGCCTCCAGGCGCGCACACGCGCGGTTCGCGACCGCGTCTTCCGCCGCGCGGTTGGCGATATCCTTGTCAGGGAGAAGCGTTGCTTGACTGTCCTCCCACAGCTGCCATGGCAGGGCGGCAGCCATGACGACGTCCTCGTCTTCGCTCGTCAGGCGACGATAGTAGGCTGCCATGAGGTCGTCGCGTTCCTCCTCTGGGATATGGGCAACAAAGGGCTCCCTGCTGTCAGCGCGGCCGGAGGTCTCAGCTACCATGTCTCCGGGAAGATGTCTGCTGTCAGCTTCGCCTGGTAGGAGACTCACGGCTCGCCCCGTCCCTGTACGTAAACTCCAGCTCGGAGCGGCGAGACAGATAGATGCCGCGAACTATCAGTGCCGCGACCGAGTCGGGATGCATCTCAGCGTACGCGAGAGAGAGCGTCGAGCCCCTGCTGTGAGCTCACACCACACCACGCCGTCGGCCGACCCACCAAGACCCGCCGAACACGAGCCACTTGTCGATGCCGAGGTGTTTGCGGATCTTTTCTATGTCCTCCACAAGGTCCCAAGTCGTGTTCTCGCGCAACTCGCCCGTCGGTGTAGATTTGCCGCACCCTCGCTGGTCGATAAGGACAATGCGGTATACGGCGGGGTCGAAGAACTTGGTGTTGCCCGCGGACGTGCCAACGCCGGGGCCACCGTGGCTACAGTGAGCATACAGCTCGATGTGTGAATCTCACATGAAGACGACAGGCTTGCCATTCGGGTTGCCAGCTTGCCAGAAGCTAAGGTCAGCGAGGAGAGGGGGAGGGGGGCATGCAACCGCACTGATTGCGGACGCTCACTAGACGTTATGCAGATCGGAGACCTTGATAGTCTGGCTGTCGAACGGCTTGCTTTCGGCGTAAAGCTGAGCGGGAGGTGGGCGCGACATGGCAAGAGTTGATCAAAATATCTAGTGGGCCAAATGCATCAATGCTGGGCCAAACGCATCAACATTTGACGATCCGCATGGTGCACGCACATGGCTCTTCCTGACGTCACTGACGACTTCACGACTGAACCCGGGGGGTTCAAGTGCTAAACTGGCATGTTCTCCAGCGGGCAGCGACGAGCTGGTGCTTCGTCTCACCATCCTAAAGCAGCACAGCATCAGGTCAGACTGCTCCATTGACCTGGAACTCTGACTGCCGAGGAGATCCCGCAGGCGTTCCCGCTTGGTTTCGAGCTGGCGAATTCGCCCTTACCGCTCGCTCACCTGGCGCGGCTGATTTTTCAACTTCGCAGGCGTATCATGCATTTGCAGATCATCCATGCTGAGCAATTTCCCTGGGCTTTGAACACATGCTTGACTCCATCTTCAACAGCCTCATCTGATTTAAATGTCATGTCAATTGCTTATAAACGTTCTCATCCCAGTCCTATTACACCATGTTATACGCTGCTTCTGCGTTCATGCATCTGGCAAGCCCTGCTCTGGTCCCCCATGCCCACACCATGGATCAGCTTTGCCACTCATAAGCACTTGTCCCATTGTGAGGCCGCGTCCTCCGCCGCCTCACTGTACCGGACCATCGAGCCCTGCCGTCGCTGTATATGCGCCCGTCACACGCACAAACTGCCAGATTGCGACACCGCATGCATCACTTATCATCTCTATTAATTAGCTTTGGGCCCAGATCGCGTCCATCTCGGCCTGCTGCTCGTCCTTCTGGCGCTGACGCGCATCCTTGTCCTCCTGGCGGCCCGGGAGGCTCTCGTCGTCCCCGTTCTCCTCCCACTCCTGGTCGAGCCGGGCCTGCTCCTCGTCCAGGCGCGCCTGCCACGCGTCCAGCTCGTCCTGGCGTTCCTGGTTGGACTGGCCGCCGGCGCGGTCCGTGTCTGGCGCGGCTTCGGCCTCAGCCTCCTCGTTCTGGAGGCGAGCATTCTCCTCTGCGAGGCGGGCGTTCTCCGCCTCAAGAGCAGCCTTCTCCGCCTCGAGGGCCTCCTCGTCCGCCTCCTGGTTCTCCTATTGTCAGCGCGCTGCACCTGCACCTGAAAGACTCACGTGGTACAGGTAGGCTCCGACACCGACAACAGCGGCCGCCGCGAGACCGCCGCCCGCGACAGCGGCGATCTTGCCCTTCGACCAGCCCTTCTTCTCCTCGCTGTGGCCGCTGCTGTGGGCACCGTGGGCGCCGTGGCTGCTGTGGCTGTCGTGCTCGCCGCCGTAACCGCCGTGGCTGCCGTGGCCCTTGTCTGCGTAGGAGTGGCCGCCATCGCCATAGCCCTGCTGGTACTGCTGCTGGGGGTAGCCGTGGTGGCCATAGCCTGGCTGCTGCTGCTGGTATCCCTCCTGCCCGTATCCCTGGTGCTGGTACGACCCCGGCTGGCCGTAGCCCTGCTGGTGCTGCTGCTGGTACTGCTGCGGGTGTCCGTACCCGCCGTCGCGGTCGGCATACCCGCCGTGCTCGCTGTGTCCGCCGCCGTGCCCGTGCCCAACCTGCTTGTGCTCGTCGTCGTGGTCCTTCTTGAGGAAGTCGAGGAAGCCCATCTTGTCTCGTTGTCTGGATGCTGCTATCCATGTCAGATGCCTCGCGAGATGTCATTTATGGATTCCGCCAGCCGGGGGAGGCGGTGCCATGGTCCGTGCACCATGTCGGATGGCAGGAGACCGATAGCCATGTTGGCTTGCGCGCCGCAGCCTGGGGCGAAGGTGCGGCCTATCATCGCCGGTGGGGGGCGCTCGCGCCGCCGCCGAGCATGCCAAGAGGTGCACGTCGTGCTCTCTTGGCGGGGTGAGGAAGAGGAAAGAAGGGAGGGGGAGGGATGGTCTAGGGAGCTCTGGTGCACGGGGCGAGGCGGTGCGGTGTGTCCGATGATCTTGATGAACTTGTGGGTAAGGAGTGGAAATGGGGGCAATCACTGTCTTGTACCGCCAGGCCGAGGCCACCAAGACGGCTGGTGATGGAGGTGTCGTTCCGCAGTCGCTGTGGAATGAAGCATGCTGCCTCGTCGCTGGCAGGGGAAGTGAGTTCCGTTTGATGGTCAGGCATTCCGCATCAGTGGATAACACTGCCGGCGTTGTTATCCGTTAGCGCGCGGCGCTCGTCGTTACGACACTCTGGTCATGAGCGCTCGATCACCCCTGCGCGCTCTACACCACGACACATTGAAGCGATTGTCACCGGGGCCCGGTGCATCAGGCCTTGGTGTCAGGATGGATGAATGAGAGAGTGGTATGGATGAATGAGGGAGTAGTGGACTGAGGTCCGGGCGCCTCTCCGCCCGCCCCTTGCCTCTACTTTCGCCGTCAAGCCACCAACACGCCAAAAAAGTGAACGTTGCAGAGGATGTTGTGAAAGGAGTTCAAGTCGTAACCGTACCACATCTGTACGTATGCTCGCCCGGGACACTCTCTCGGTGGGTGCAGAGTGCCGAGTACCAAGTGCCTAGCCCGCTCCGGAGCGACCAGGAACGTGGGTCGACCGTGTCCAGGTCATGTAACGCGACGCGTCGGGGAGATCGCGGCGGGTGCGTGTCAGAGAGTGCTTGGGCCGAGCATGAGCTTAATGCGAGTATCGGAGCTGAATTTGAGGGGGAGATGGTGAAGGGGAGTCAGTTGGCGTTGCACATACCGGCCTGGCCGCTTGGCAGCGATCAGTGGGCAGGGCAGGAGGGTCAGCGTTTAGTCAGTGTCCACCGAACAGTACCATAAGCCACGCCTAGCGCATCCAGCAATGACTATGCGATTGTCCATGTGTGTACAAGGGCTGTAAGGATACAGATTGTCCTGTATTGTCCGTGGGGATAATTGGGGTCGCGCGGGTCGATCACAGGAAGCAAGCAGCCCGTCTATTTAGTCGTGCTGGCGGTTCTTGCGACCCTTGCGGCCCTTGCCGAACTTGCGCCATCTAAGGCGACCGTTCTCATCCCAGTAAGGCTTGAAGGGGAACTCGTTCTTGGTGGTGTTGCAGGGCACGCCCTGGTTCTCGCCAGCGCCGGGCAGGGCGCTAGTCTCCGGGAGGGGGATAGTGGAGGGATTTGCGGCCTGCGAGGAGGTGTTAGCGGACGGCGTCGGCTCGGCGGATGGTGTTGGCTCGGCGGAGGGGGTAGGCTCGGCGGGCAGAATAGCTTCGGTGGCCGGAGCGGAAGAGGTTGGCAGAGGGGCGGAGCTGACAACCGGTGTGGACGAAGCAGTAGAAGAGGCAGCGACAGGGGGTGAGCTGTTCACCGCAGTGGGAGGAGCAGCAGACGAAGCGGAGGCAACAGCCGAGCTGCTCTCAGGGGGTGTAGGAGTGGTGATAGCAGCGGAGGTGCTGGTTCCTGGCGCAGGCGTGGTGGTGCCGTTTCCCTTGTACTCAGGCCAGCCATTGTAGGGAGTGCTCTGCTTCGCAAGCTTGGCGAAGCCAACGGCAGCCGGCTCGGGGCGGTGGATAGAGTAGACATTCTTGAGGAAAGCGGCGCCGAAAAGGAACTCGGCCATGGAGCCGGGGCTGAGACCAATGATCTGCGAAAGACACGTGCCCTCGGCCTCGTCAAGAACGCTGAAGTTAAAGTCGTCGGGGAAAATGTCGTAGTCGACACCGCCAAAGGTGAACTGAATCTTGGTATCGGTCTTGCACGGTACCGACCACATACCGGCTCCCATCTGCGGAGCCTCGACGGCGCCGGGGACCTGGGCGAAAAACTCCTTTGCGTAGGCAGTAGGGAAGTAGTTGAGAGTCGAGCCTGTGTCCAAGATGGCACGCTTGCCCTGAGGAACGATGGCCTTGCCGTTCACCTTGGCACCGTCAAAGTCGACCATCCAGTAGCGCTTCTCGGTCACAGGGACGTAGTTGACCTCGCCAGTGTATAGCTCTTCAGCGACGCCGCCAAGGGTGAGAGTGCCGCCAGCGCTCTGGTGAAAGCCCGTGGTTTGGTTGCCTTCCGTGCCGGGAGGAATGTCGTTGAGGCCACCCCGCTCAAGATAGATGCCAAAGCGCTTGTCGTCCCACTGCTCCATGGCGTTGGTCCACCAAGGAACCTCGTTGGCTGCGGTGATGCTCGGGAAGCCGAGGCCAAGAAGACCGGAGGATCTCGATCCAACATAACCTGCGTCGGTGTTGTACGCAGCCACTGACGGTCAGCGGGTACGGTATGGAGGCGGGTGAACTCACTGAATGACTGCTTCTCGACCTTGAAAGGCCCAATCGCCATGGTGTCGTTAGACCAGAGGCCTGCAGCAAAACCTGACCCATAGGTGAGCGACTTGCGGGCGTTTGTGTCCCAGAGGGCGAAAGTGGATGACGCATTGTAGTCGAACAGGGGAATGTTGTTGGTAGTACACGCCCTGATGGTGCAGTTCTTGGAGAGGAAGTATGAAGTGGACGAACCGGTATCGATGTGGACGGAGAAGGTCTGGGGAGGAGTGCCGAGCTCGACGTCGACCGTGTACATGAAATCACGACGCCAGTTGGTCACGCTAAGGTTAGTCACGCGCGTAAGAACCAAGGTTCAGAGGCAAACGGAAGGTTCGATCTCGACCAGACAAACAACACGCGGCGCACGTCAATCCCCTTGTCGTGACGACTCCAAGCTCTCTCATGATATCATGATCGTACGACGCCGAAGCACACACCCTGCTTCACCCCGCAGGCCCGCCGGGCGCTGAACGCTGGTCATTGGTGTCTGGCTGCTGGCTGACGCCCGCCCCCATCACCATCACCCCGAGTCCAAGCCTTTCCTTTTGCCGTTCTGCTGCTGCTGCACTCACCGAAAGTCAGCTTCCTCGGCCCTCTCGTCGTAGCGGCTGCGAACGTGATGAGTGTTGGCAGCTGCAATGTCGCGGGCGTGGTGGGCATTGCGGATAATGCCACCATTGTGCTTGATCGGGAGGCTGTAGGCTTTCGAGCGAGGCTGAAGGTCGCGGGGGGTGAGCTTGTCGATCTTGAGAGGGGTGCTGTAACCGCCTGGGGTAGGGGCGGCGTCGGCGATCGCAAGAACCGAGAGTGTGGCGGTGAGGATGATGGCCGGGAGCATGATGAGGAGAAAGGGGGGAGGGTGAAGGGGTAAAAGAGTGACGAGACTGACAGCTGATGGCGAGTTGTCAGTGCTACTACTTACTACCTACAGTGAAGCTACAACAACGACGAGGGGAGGAGGGGGAGGAGGAGAAATGTGGAGGATGTGGAGGATGTAAGTGTGTTGATTGACGAGGGGGACGAGTTATAAGACAAGGCCATGACTAAGGATCAAGTGAAGGTTATATGTTTCCACGATCCATGAGGCTTACGAGGTCGCATAGGCGTCGCATGCATCGCACAGCGGGCACAGACAGGCTGCAGGCTGAAGAGGCTGGTTGTGAATCGTATTCGTGTGCAAAGTGTGCTTGGCCATGCTTGTAACAGTTGCTGCGGCTGACACCAGAGTTCAAGTTGCGTAAGAGAGGAACCGAGGGGGTGGGGAATGCCGCGCGCCGTGGCCGGCGTGCCGGGGTGCCGGTGTGCCCTCCGTGTGCCGTACGTGCCGTGCTATCTGCGCCATGTCCTGGTATCCTGCGAATTGTCATCCTGCGATCCTGCGATTAGTGTCACGATCTGTTTGAATGGCCGGAATGGGGGATTGGGGGGAGCGTATGGAGCGCCGAGCATGACATGGTGGGCGCTGCGAGATTGCATGCCACGAAGGAAACGGGGTAAGAAGAGTACTAGCCTGACGCAGAGAATGGATTGCGCGGTGGGACATGTGGACAAGTGTGGTTATGACAATGACAGCCATGGTCTGTATGGGGCCGAAGAGCGCGAGGAGATTGAGGAGTGAGCAAGAGCTCTCTCGCGCAAGAGAGAGCCAGAGAGAGCTAGAGAAAGGATAAGAGTAGTAGTGAAGATGATGAATGGCAATGAGCTGAAACCGAGGGGGATAGCGGGAACCAACCCCTGTCATGCCTGTCACTGTCACTGTCACTGCGTGCTCGAGCTCTGTTGCTGCGCGTGTTGAGCAAGGCGCGTCAGACTCGATCCTGAACGCGACGCGTCCATTCGCCTCTTCCGATCCCGCAACTTTCGATCCGGCCTCAACCAGGGCAATTAACCTCAACACGTTGATTGACCGGTGTGATACACGACTAGACCGGCAATCCCTGCCACGTCATTCTTCAACGGAATCAATACCACCACGCGATTGCCACGATGCGATCCCAACCTCCACCACGCCTGACGTGTCTCGGCCAACTGGTGCTCGCGATCGAGGTCCATCGAGGTGCTCCAGTTCAAGTCCCCCCACCCCCCCCCCCCCCCTAACACCCAAAGCCCTCATGCGGCTTCTCCCCTTCCTCACGCTCATTCCAGCCGCCCTCGCAAGGGCGGCACGCCTTCAGTCCGCTGCCGCTCCTCAAGAATATGTCAACACCGCCGTCGCCCGCACCGTCGAGCTCGGCGGCAGCACAACCCTCGTCACCACACAGTACAACGTCAAGGCGTTGAATGCCGACCCGGGGTCCTACATCCTCGCGCTGGCAGCATCAGGTCAGCCAGAGCCTGCATGGTACGAGGTGCTTGTCGGGGGCAAGGCAGTGTCTGTCGAGGCCGGCCGCTTGGGCGAGTGAGTCACCATCTCATATTTCCCCTCATCTAGTGTACTGTGGCATGCTGATATCCAGTGCGCCGGTCGCTGTCGTGCCCATGGGCAAGCTGAGGAAGGATGACACGGTGACAATCTCCTTGAATGCGATCACTGCGCACGCCGCGCGCCCTCTCCCCGAGGAGATCGAGCAGCGCGAACCCCAGTTTATGATCTGGGAGTCGGATACCACTCTCGTTGACTCGGCGTACAAGTGTGACGTCGAGCGTATCAAGATCCGCACCCCAACGTCTGTGATTCTCTCCCACGGTACCGTCCCAAAGACGTACACTCGCGACTCTGATGTCACCAAGAGCTCGGCAACAATCACGCTTGGTCCATTCCACGGCGTTCCGCCCACCATTGGCGCCGACGCAAGCGCGGAGCAGTCGCCCTTCTACGTCCACTACGAGACGCGCGAGCCCATCATCGGCATCCGTACGCTCAAGCGCGCGGCTGAGGTCTCGTACTGGGGGGCCAACCTCAACATTCAGGACGAGGTCGGCCTCTTCAACGACGGACCTCAGTGAGTGCAACACTCTCACCAGGCCAAACTGCAACATCCACTAACACCAGGCTCAAGGGGCAGTTCTCGCGCCTTGCGCACCAGCAGTCGCGCTTCCACGCCGGCAAGCCCGCGCAGGTGCTCTCCGAGTTCACCCTCCGCCTCCCGCCTTCAGCGCACAGCGTGTACTACTACGACGTGATTGGCAACGTGTCGACCTCGCGCTTCCGCCCCGGCCAGCCCGCCGTTGGCAAGAAGCGTGTTGTGGACGGCTCGCTCGAGCTGCGTCCCCGCTACCCCGTCCTCGGAGGGTGGAACTACTCGTTCACCGTGGGCTGGGACATGCCTCTCGCCGAGAACCTTCGCACCGACGGCGACCGCGCCATCCTCGAAGTGCCCTTCCTCACGCCGCTCAAGGGCGTCGTCGTCGACCAGGAGGAGCTGACCATCGTCCTCCCCGAGGGCGCGACCGACGTCGAGGTGTTTGCCCCGTTCCCCCTCGACTCGATCTACCACGGCGTCCACCGCACCTATCTCGACACGATCGGCCGCCCCAAGGTCGTCATCACCAAGCGCTCCGTCACTGAAAACCACGCCGTACCCGTGTACGTCACCTACTCGTATCCGCTCAGCGCGCGCTTCACCAAGCCGCTTGCGGCGGGTGCATTCGCCGGCTCTGCCCTCGCGCTGTTCATGCTCCTCCGGCGCGTGAACTACGACATCGAGAAGAAGTAATCTCGTTAGACAGTAGCATAGATGCATGTGTGAGAAGACGTGCGGTGCTCCATGATGGTCGTGTTAGGCGAGTTTTAAGGCTCGCGAAATGGGACGCAGTGAGATGTGCTATGCATGCGATGATAATGCCTGTTGCTCTAGATCTACCCTCTTGACTCGGTTCCCCCCTTCGGCGTCTCGGCGCCCGGCGACTCAGACCCACCTACTTGGCCGGCACATGTTCGTAGTTTTCCCACCCCGAGGCCTTGTTCACGACGTCGGCGGGTGCGTCGAACACGGCGTGGCCCTTGTCGTTGCGCTTGGCCCGGAAGAACGTGTACGAGAGCACGATGTCGTCGACATTGTCCAGTGTTGGGTCGTCCACGACGTCGCGATCGATAAAGAAGAAGACGGGCAGGTCGACCTCTTCGCCCGCGCGAATCTTCTGTTCCTCAAAGCAGAAGCACTCCACCTTGGCAAAGTAGGGCGCGATCTGGGGTCAGCCGGCCAGCTGGAGAGATCCGAAAGACAAGATGAGCGGCTCGAGGAGGGGAACGACTACATGCACCCCTGCGCACCGTCAAGCGTCCCGCAGACCGCAGGCCAGTACGCCGGCATCCCCACATCCTCCCACTTCCCCTACCCCTATCCCCAGTCTTAACTCACCTTCTCGGGGGTCATGTTATACGTCGCGATCCCGATCAAGTCCTTGTCCGAGTTATTCTTTGCCGTGTAGAACGCCAACGCCGTCTGTCCGGGCACGACGGTGACGCTGCGCTGCACAGGCTCAAAGCTCCACGGGAGCGTGTCCGAGCTCGTCGCCTCGAAGCGGACGGTGATCGGCCGCCCGGCCGTCTGCTCGTTCGCATACAGCCTGCTGGCCTCGAACCGCGCCGGGTCCGTCATCGGCGTGCCCGCGTATCCTGTTGCAGCGCAGAACGCGCGGTACGCCGGCACGGCGGCGTACGTGATCCCCGAGACGAGGGCGAGCGAGCCCACCGTGTACAGCACGAGCGTGCGGTTGCGCTTCATCCGGTCGGCGTACAGGCGGTCGCGGGCCGCGCGGGCCGCGTCTGATGTGCGGGAGGATGGAGGAGGGGGAGGAGGAGGAGTGGAGAGGGGTCGCCGGGAGGAGGGGGTGCGCGTGCAGCGCGCCGGGGCAGCGCGTAGTGGCGCGCAGCTGCGTAGGAGACGGAGCGGCATCCTGATGGTGAGGAGAGATGAAAGATGGCTCGGCGAGGCCGGAACACTTCGCCGATGTGGAGGCAATCCGAATCTTGGATGGATCGACGGACATCGACAGTAGACTCCGCTCGCAGGGTCGCCTGTGCCTGAGGCAAAGCAACATGGTGCAGGCTGCACGCTCATGTTTGTGGCGGCATGAACCAGCACAGGGTCGCCAGCTGGCCAGCGACATACGCAGCCACATCGGATGACAGATCTGAGCGCGCGCTAAAAATTGTGCATGGGGACACTGAATTGATCAGTTGCCGAGTATAAATGCTCATCCACGAGTCCATGGGTCTTCGCCTTTTATACTCTCGTGCAAGCACATCGACGTGACCAGCGACAAATGTAAACAGCAAAAGGTGTGTGCTATCAGGCCCCGTGGAAACAGCCAGCCGCTCCAGAACTGGACTACGCTCAGGCTGACTCCAAGAGCTCGGCCCAAGAAAAGGATGTACGCTGATGGTCACGTTTTAGGGAGCAGAAGACGCTAGGGAGCCATCGAGAAACGAGCGAGTCGAGCAAACCGCCCTACTGCCTGCCACGTAGAAGTTCGTCAACATTTCTTTCGGTAGTATATCCTCGGACTGCCCAAGTGGTGGCGTTTCGGCGAGTTCTCCGAGAAGGTCAGTCTTAAGCCGCGGCTAACCCCGCTCAATTTGACCACTGATCGCAACAACATTAAGCGGACCTGCAGGGCGTGCTCGGTGGCGACTTGAGGAAGGTCCACGCTCCATGAATGCTGCCGTCGAATCTGATGACTCACTCTCTGATGGGGGCCAGCCCCGGCAGAGGCAATACAACGATCATCCTGTAGTGCATCCGAATCCGAGGTCAGAGGGTCGAAGAACGTCCATTCTTCATAGAAGCCTTAGTCGAGTAGATGCCTGATTTCTAAGACGAAGAGGTTGGGATCAAGACGCATGACAGCCATCACGTGATGGTGACGCTGAAATAAGGGGAGGGGGGAGGGGGGATCGGCTGTGGGTGCTTGAAAGAACTTCCACCACCGACTTGCCCAAGGCAGGTTGAGGTGTCGTCGCGATGCTGCTGATCATCTGACGAGAGACGTACAAGCATACGCCCGTGATGTGGAAAGGGAAAGGTGGTCGAGAGGAGAACACTGAATTGTCAATAACGGGGAGAGTTGGTTGATGAGAACTGAGTAGGTGTCCTTTGCAGGACACAGCGAGTGACCATCCCTGACAACGCGCAACAACGCTGAATCCTGTACATCGTACGAGGTGATGGCCCAGTCGTGAAATGGCGCGGAGGGCAAATACTTTACAATGTCGGCGGCCACTCGGTGGTGGTGAAGGGAAGGTGATGAGTCAGTGAGGAGCGCAGAGCCAATACAGCGGGTGCTGGAGTGCTGACCTTTTAATCCTCTCATCAAAACAGTTTCGTCACCAATGCACACTGGTGATCTAGTGCACCGGGGTCCCAAGAATGTTGGAAGGGCACTTGCTGCGCAACTAGGAGCATTCAGGCTCTAGTGGGGAACGACCACGGAGGCTGGTGCCTGCCATCTCAGACACGGTTATTTTCACCGCAGTCAGCAGCAAGCGGCGACTCGATCTTGCTTCAACCGCACAGCAATAACAGTTGCAGAGGACGCATAGGTGGAAACGGAATTGTTTCCCACCCTGCAGCTCGGCCACAGGCCTCAGGTATGTCTCAATGTCGGCGAGGTCCCAGCCACCGCGGTCTCCTGAAACTAGGCCGAGCACAGCATCTACCACCTCCTCCGAATCTCCGGTGTACGACGCTCACGCGGCGACAGCTACCCTATGAGGCCACAATATTGTAGGAGGCCGTACACACTTCCCGCCTTTTGATCGCCGCAGCATCTGTCATCGTCGCCGCCCAGCCCCCGCCTTTTGCTGTCATTCCAGATCTAAGCTGTCCCTCATTCCCTCGATGGAGGGTGTCAACTCAGCTCACTCCAATCACGCCAGCATGCAGTACGGTGTGATGGTGGTGATCACAACAACTCTATTCGCCCAGTAAGCCAGTGAGATACAGTGCCTACTCGTCCAGGCTACTATGGATGGCAACATAGACGACGCCGGTGGATTCATGGAGAGTAGGGGGGAAGGGCACTGGGATGGGCTAACCAGTTTGCGCCGCTAGAGCCTGCCTTCGGCCTCGGCGATGCCTGCTGACCGCTCCGAACATTCACGACCTTTTCTCCCCGAACGCATGTCAATTGGGGCTATGGCAAACACAGTCACCAGCAATTCAGTCAGGAGTACTTCTCCAAATTGAGTCAATCAACAGAATGGTGTACAAGCAGGCCAAGGGTTCCTCGCATGCACTGTCTTACATGTACAGTGTTGATTCCAGCCATCTCGTCGTCGCCAGCATACTTAACCTCATCTCCCTCGTGTTGCCTTCCTTCCTCAACACATCTTCTCGGCATCTCCTCATCACATCTTCTTCATTTTACACCAACTTTAACCAGCTCCCACCCACTTGTTGTCGCTTGTATACGGAGAAAGCCCAGGTAAGCTTGCCGCTCAGTGCAGTGGCTCACTCGCAAGATGTGGGACGTCATCTTGCGGTCGTGGTCCTCGCTGTCGTCGTGGACTTCGGTAGTGCAAGACAAGAGCGAGCAGGACAACGCACCTCCGTCTCCTTCCAATGTCGCGTGCATCGTCAACGAGCCTCCTACCTTCACACCCTCTCAGCCCATTCCCATCAAGAAGGTGAAAGGTCGCCCTGCCGCCCCCCTGTGGGTGGATGACTTCGAGGACGTCTTTGCGACGTCCCCGTTAGCCGCCAGGAAAGCAAGGGTAAAGATGATCAAGCAAATCAAGAAAGAGTACAACGAACGCATGACGCGATCCTCCGCGCGCCGGGCGGGTGGTGTGGGCCCAGCGAATGCAGCGAAGGCTCAGGTGAGCCCGAAACCCCAGAGCTCAGACATCCCGATGGAACCCCAAGTGCGCGTTGCTGGGTTCCACCTCGGCTGCTCGATAGTCGCGCCAACAACCCACATCGCGACCCCACACCTCCCGGTTGTACCTCAGGTGCGTATTCTTACATCCACCGGCTCCTCAGCTGAGACCAGGAGCTGCTCGACAATGTCGTTGCTATCGCCGACAGCTTCCGGGACCTCGTCCTCGCTCGCGACAGGCGCTTTGAGACGGCAAAAAGCTCGAACCTCTGCAGCGCACACTCCAAGGCGGCGCAAATTACAAACGTTCAAGACACGGACGAGACCCACGCCCTCCGTAAACAGTTCCTCCAGGGCAAGGCCGCGCTAGAGGAGCGCTTGCGCCAAATCAAATGCCAACTCGAGATCATCAACCCCGGCCACGCATTTGAGGACATCGAGGTCGTCGAGCGCATGTTGGCAGACGAACCTGATGAGCCAACCCTGGGCATTCCATTGGTCGAGTCGTCAGAGTACTCAGAGTCTTGGGCCTCCCTACTCCGTCTTTATTAGCTCAGCGCGACTTGGTGCGCCTTTATATAGCAGCGATGTGACAGAGCTTGCATATCAACCATTTGACACGCCCTCGTCTCATCAATCTAGTACCCGCCTGTGTATCGTTGTCCTCGAGCAGCTCCGCCCTGGCGACTGGGGCCAGCACGAGCGCGGTCATCGCGGTTGTTATCATCACGCCAGCGCCTTCCCTCGCGGTCGGCGCGGTCCAGTTCCGCGCCCCATCCTTCCACGCGTCCACCACCAGCACCAGACGCACGCCACTCCCCCTCCTCAATCTCTGCCTCACCACCGTAGCGCGAGCCGCGGTCGCGGTCTCCTCGATGGCTTGGTCCTGGGCGACCCGGAGCCCAAGTCGCCCCACTCCGCGGGAGCACCCCATTCCCAGACAAGCGGCTGGCCAGGCTTCCGGCCCCCATCGCAGGGCGACGCTCGGGAGTGCGCTGCCTGGTCCATCCGCCGCGCCGGTGGTCGCGGTGACGATCTCGATTTGAGAACCAATCGTCGTGGTCGTCGCGGCGATCGAGGCCACGCTGACGCGCCATCTCCTTCTCTCGCCCGCGACGGCCAGGCGCGGCGCCGCCGAACCCGGCATATCCGGGGTTGAGGCCTGGAAGATCGTCATCAAAGCGCGTGTGAGTCCCCGCTGGGCGGGCCTCGTAACGTCCACGCGAGAAGCTTGCGGCATACGGCCCGCGACTGGCCATTGCAGCAGAGAACGCGGTGGGGTACGCAAAGATCGGCGCTTTGGAACCTTTAGGCATGCCGCAGTCCTGCCAGTAAGCATATGCCCGGTCATCTCTGTGCTGCTCTGTCGCTATCATCATTCACTCACGTCACCCAAGTGTCCTTCCCTCGCGCAATTGAAGCAAAACAAGGACATGGGGTTCTTGCCGACCGCCTCGAGCTTCCAACCCTTGGCTTCGCTCTTACTTCTGACAACCTCCTCGCGCACATCAGGCGGATAGTAGACATACGTGCGCCATGCCAGCTCACAGCCCTATTGTCAATCAGAGCTTGTCACAAGATGAACTCACCGTCGTGCCATGGCGATTGCTGCCGCAAAGCGTACACTTGACTGTACCCGTGTCATGAGCTTGAACAGCTCGCTGCTTGCACTCCATTGCAGAGTGACCGCTCAAGCCGCAATATCTACACGTCTGGCCGTAAGGGCACGAGTTGCGCTCATGGCCTTCCTCGCCGCATCGTAGACACTATCGTCAGCAAAGTCGTTGAATCGGCGCACAATCTCCACGTCACAGTTGCGGTCAGTATGTCCCGGCTTCTTGCACTTCTTGCAAACGCTGCGAAGATCTGCACTTGCGAAAAACTCATCGGTTGCTCTCGGGTCATAGTAGCGGACGGCACCCTACAGTCAGCCTCAGATGACAGCAATGTAGCGCACCGTTGCACGGCTATCGTCCAACACTGCGATGCCGGTCATATCTGTGTTCTCCACAACGACATCAAGTGGGGGTGCATCCTGTCCCACAGCGTCCTGGTCCTCATCACCCATGCTCACGTGGGCTGGGAGGAGTAGGGGCGGCGGAGGTGGGGAACCGGGAGGGGGGGCAGGTGGCGAAGAGCGCTTGGAGTTCATTCCTCCGGAGGTCTTCTGCTCCTTCGCGCCACTGCCTCTGCCATCATCGCCCTCCTCCTCATCGTCACTCTCAGGGAGGGTAACGCTGATGGCCATGCGCCTAAAAGGCTTGAACTTTGACGGCGCTCCTGGGTCATCGCTGTTGATAGTTGAGGTGCCTTCTCCTCCGTCAAGTGACTGGCCGGAAGGGCCGGCGCGCGGCTCGGCTTCTGCGTACGGGGGAGGAAGAGTGGTGCAGGTAGTCACACTGTGCCCGGCCACTGCGAATCAGTGGTGCGCTTGCATAGATAATGATAATACTCACGACCACACTTGGAGCAGGCCTCATCTCCCGAGTTCTTTGTGAAATCGTAATACTCGTTCGCTGTTCCCTCGTTCTGCCTTCTCTTGTTCCTGCTCTGCTGGCTCTGCTGAGGTTCGTCCTCTTTGAAGTCGCTCGCTCCGTCCGAAGTAGCATCCGGATTGCCCTCCATAGCCCTTAGCCTTGCCCGTCGTTGTTTTCTGTTTTCTTTCAGAGGGGTGGAGTTTTCGTTGAAGGGGGTGGAAGGAGTCGCCTCGCCCGGAGGCGGCGTCGCCCGCTTCATCAGTGTGGGCTGGAGGTGGCAACTGGGGGGTGCAAGGAGCGTAGGTCAAGATAACGAGAGCTTGGGGCTGGCTCGCTTGGATATAAGAGCCCAAGATGTTCGGTCAAGATGCTCGATATGACGCGGGAAGTAGTGCCGAATGGATTGATTGAGGGCGTTGAACGTTGTGCGTGTGGTGATGGTGATGAGGTGCAGCGCGGCTTGGATGGTGAGGACGGACGCACCTCCACTTCTCCACTCTCCGCCTTGCTCAAATTCTGGGACGCGTCGTGAGCGGAGGCGAGATTAAAGGGAGGGGTGGATTAACTTGTGTCGCCCAAATCAAGGTGGGGCCTAAAGTCGACTCGGGCGGGGAAGGAAGGTCGCTGCTCGTTGGGTGAGGGCCGCCCAAAGCCGGTCAGAAAACTCGGTCGTCAGCTTGTCAGCTTGTCAATCAGCACTCCTACTCGGTCGTATCGCTCGTCGTCGACACCAACAATCCCTTTCTCAACCTCCCCTCGACTCGCAGGTCTGCACCTCTAACGGCTGCCCACCCGGAGTCGCAAGAAAAGAGAGCACTACCTCGTCGCTGAGTCTCATCGTCCCAGCTACCTCGAGCCGACTCGGACTCCTTCATTCGATCCACACGGCAACCTTGCCACCCCCTTCGCCTACTCCTCCCCCCTCGCCACCCACCATGTCGTTCAAGGCTCACGACCGTGAGTGCTCATCTGTCGCACCCAGCGGCTGCTGGTCTTTACACCCATACTCCTCAACCTGCCTGGCTCCCGGGCCCATCCCCCCTCCCCATCGCATCAGCTCCGCCGCGCTCTCCATCCACTCAGTCTCTGCTGACACCAGCGTCCAAGCCGATCCACATCCCGACCGCTGAGCACAACGTGCTCGAGTTCTGGCGTGCGATTGATGCCTTCAAGACCCAGCAGAAGCTGTCAGAGGGTCGCCCGGAGTTCTCGTTCTTCGACGGCCCCCCCTTCGCGACAGGTCTTCCTCACTATGGTCACTTGCTCGCTGGTACCATCAAGGTAATATATCCCGCCCGGAAGTGGTCTGACCGCAGGACATTGTCACCCGCCATGCCTCATCCACTGGGCACCACGTCGAGCGTCGCTTTGGCTGGGACACGCACGGCCTCCCCGTCGAGCACGAGATTGACAAAAAGCTCGGCATCAAGGGCAAGGACGATGTGATGGCCATGGGCATCGAGAAGTACAACGCCGAGTGCCGTGCCATTGTCATGCGATACGCGTCCGAGTGGAAGGCCACTGTCGAGCGTGTCGGTCGCTGGATCGACTTCGACACCGGTTACAAGACCCTCGACCCCACCTTTATGGAGTCGGTGTGGTGGGTCTTCGGCCAGCTGTGGGAGAAGGACCAGGTGTACCGTGGTCTCCGCGTGATGCCGTACTCGACCGGCTGCACAACCCCGCTGTCCAACTTCGAAGCTGGCGAGGACTACCGTGACGTCCAGGACCCCGCTATCACCGTGTCGTTCCCCCTTGTTGACGACCCAACGACCAGCCTCCTTGCATGGACGACTACCCCGTACACTCTCCCCTCTAACCTCGGCCTCTGTGTGCACCCTGACTTCACTTACATCAAGATTCACGACGTCGAGCGCAACCAGAACTTCATTCTCCTTGAGTCGCTGCTTGGTACAGTGTACAAGGAGTACCAGAACGGCAAGAAGCCCGACCCGAAGAAGGAGCCCAAGTTCAAGAAGGTGGGCTCGTTCCTCGGCAAGGACATGGTCGGCTGGCGCTACACCCCCATGTTCGACTACTTCACCGAGCAGTACGAGGACCGCGCGTTCCGTGTTCTTTCCGACACATATGTCACCGACTCGGCCGGTACCGGTATCGTACACCAGGCCCCAGCGTTTGGTGAGGATGACCACCGCGTTGCCGTTGCGCACAACGTCGTCCGCGAGGACGAAGTGCCGCCTTGCCCCATTGACGAGTCCGGCCGCTTCACCGACGAGGTCCCCGACTACCAGGGCCAATACGTCAAGGACGCTGACTCCGCCATCATCAAGGAGCTTAACGCCAAGGGCCGCCTCATTGTGCGCACCGACATCAAGCACTCCTACCCCTTCTGCTGGCGCTCGGGCACTCCCCTCATCTACCGTGCTATCCCTGTCTGGTTCGTTCGCGTGGCTTCCAAGTCGGAGGAGCTTGTCGCCAACAACGAGAAGACGCGCTGGGTGCCCCCTCATGTCGGTGAGGGCCGTTTTGGTGGCTGGCTCAAGAATGCGCGTGACTGGAACATCTCGCGTAACCGCTACTGGGGAACCCCTATCCCTCTGTGGGCGTCGGACGACATGAAGGAGATTGTGTGCATTTCGTCGATCAAGCAACTCGAGGAGCTCTCGGGTGTGACTGGTATTACCGACCTCCACCGTGAGAGCGTCGACTCCATCACCATTCCCTCCAAGCAGGGCAAGGGCACGCTCAAGCGTATCGAGGAGGTGTTCGACTGCTGGTTCGAGTCAGGCTCGATGCCTTACGCGCAGTCCCACTACCCCTTCGAGAACCAGGAGCTCTTCAAGGAAAGATACCCCGCCGACTTCATCTCGGAGGGTATTGACCAGACCCGTGGCTGGTTCTACACCCTTCTTGTGCTTGGCACGCACCTCTTCCAGACCGCGCCCTGGAAGAACCTCATTGTTACCGGTCTCGTGCTCGCTTCGGACGGAAAGAAGATGAGCAAGAAGCTCAAGAACTACCCGGACCCCATGACAGTCGTCGAGAAGTACGGTGCCGACTCGGTTCGTCTGTTCCTCATCAACTCGCCTGTGGTGAGAGGTGACAACCTCCGCTTCCGTGAGGAGGGTGTGCGTGACGTGCTCTCCAACGTTATTCTCAAGTGGATCAACTCGCTCAACTTCTACTTGAACCAGGTGGAGCTCTTCAACCAGGAGAACGACTCCAAGTTCATGTACGACCACGACGCGCCCAAGTCGACCAACGTGTTCGACCGGTGGATCCTCGCTCGCTGCCAGTCGCTCATCCAGCTCGTTGACCAGGAGATGGCGGCTTACCGCCTGTACACCGTCATCCCCGGGCTGCTCGAGCTCATCAACGACCTCACCAACTGGTACATCCGCTTCAACCGTCGCCGCCTTAAGGGTGAGAACGGTGTGGAGGACACCAAGGCTGCCCTCAACTCGCTCTACGAGGCTCTCCACACCCTTGCCCTCACCATGTCCTCTTTCACCCCATTCACCTCGGAAATGGTCTACCAGAGTCTTCTCGCCACCACTCCTAAGCCCGCTGACGGCTCGGACGTGCGGTCTGTTCACTTTGTGCTCTTCCCCAAGGCGCGCGAGGAGTACTTTGACTCGGTTATCGAGCGTCAGGTGCAGCGCCTTAAGAACGTAATTGAGCTTGGCCGTGGCATTCGCGACAAGCGCACCCTCAAGGTCAAGATGCCGCTCAAGACCCTCACTCTTTTCCACCACGACCAGCAGTACCTCGACGATGTCAAGTCGCTCAACGAGTACGTCAAGAGTGAGCTCAACGTTTCCGAGCTTGTCTACACGTCCGACGAGGCCGCGACTGGTATCAAGTACAAGGCCAACGCCGACTGGCCTGTCCTTGGTCGCAAGTTGCGCAAGGACCTTGCCAAGGTCAAGACCCACCTTCCCCAGCTCTCGAGCGACGCGTGCAAGGCCTACCTTTCGACTGGCAAGGTTGAGGTGAACGGTGTCCAGCTCGTTGAGGGTGACCTCGTTGTGACGCGCTTCGTTGAGCTCGAGGGCGACAAGGCCCAGGCGTTCGAGGCCGCATCAGACGGCGACGCAACCATTCTCCTTGACTGCCGCCGGCACGAGGACCTCGAGAGCGTCGCGCTCCTGCGTGCCCTCACATCGCGTGTCAACAAGCTGCGCAAGGCGGCGGGCCTCAAGCCCACCGACCGTGTCGATGTCTTCTACGAGGTGGACGCTGGAGAGGAGGATGCGCTGGCGCGCGCCATCGTTGGGTCCGAGGACTTCCTCCAGGCGCAGATCTACGCAATCCCCCAGCTCCGCGCCCAGCTGCCCGAGGGCCGCAAGGTGTACGCAACCGAGGTCCGCGAGAAGCAGATCGGTGACGACGACCGCGCCGAGCGCTTCATCCTCACCCTCTCTGAGCGGCCCTGAGCGGAGCGGGCGCGGCTGCGTTCCCTGCTAGAATTGTAGACCAGTTGGTTATCTCATGCATAGTTTCCGTCCGCACGAGGCGAGCTGAAAGCGTAGCGGCCCAGCCTGGGGCACCGGGCCGGAAGTCACATGCATCAATTCAGTAGACTCTACATCTATTTGAGAACTCCCTCCGTACAGCCGGAGATTCCGATTCTCCCTGGTGCGAATCATACCACGGCGGTCTTCGCCAACAGCCCGCCACTTGATGGCCGAGGATTCCCGCGGCATCCGCTTATCGCCACTTGCTCGAGCCTCGGGCGCGGCTAGAGATACCACCACGACCGAGAGGGAGCGGAATGTGCGGCCTGCTGAAGGCCGCCCGTCGATGATAGTGAGCCTCACGGAAGGAATGTGACAGCCTGGCCCCGTGCCCGCGCCGGCCCAGCGCCCTCAGCTGCCACAAATAGTTGGCCATCGTCCGCGATCGGCATGCGCACGCATGTGCTTATTCGAGTCAAAGTCCAGTCAACCGCCTTCGGACGGAGCTTGAGAGGATCGACCCGTGTCACACCTCACCGAGACCCGAAGGTGATCGCACCGTGCCCTCCCCTCTGCCCGCCATCACACAAGCCGGCTGCTTACCGCGCTAGGACACATGCATTTACGTAGTATACAGCTTAGAGTGTACATGGGCTACTGCGGTGGGGCCGCTGCGAAAGGGCAGCGGCGAGCCGTCTCGTGCGGCGTCAAGGTCGCCATAGGTAATACACAGGCACTCTGTAGAGACAGGCGGGGGACAATGAGACCAGGCATGATCACACAGCAAGCCCGTTCTGTTTGAGGAACGCCTCGTTTAGTTTGGCCTGGCAGGCGATGGGGTCAAACTCGCCATGCTCGTCCTTCTTGCATACGAGATCGGGGTCGAGTGCGGGATCGAGCTTGGCGGGCGCAGAAGCCGTGGTCGGCTCAGGCTGAGCCTCTGTGGTCCCTTCGTCCACGCCCTCGGCCCGCAGGCGCATCATCACCTCGACGTCGTCGTACTTCATATACCGTTTTCCTGTCATTAGATGGCGATGGCGTATGAAACTCACCGTCTTTACAAGTAGCCTTCTCCTTCATCTGATCGCACAGGTCGTCAATCATCAGATCCTGAGGATCAGAGTCGTGCATTCCCATGCGTGTCCAGATCTCAGAAGGACGCATAACGCGACCGTCTTCCGATAGAACGTGTATGACGCCCGAGTCGCACATGGCGCCATTGACCATGGAGCTCGGGCTCTTGATGTCCGACTGGGGTGAGGTCGCGTCTGTGCCAGACCTTGGCGACTGCGAGCTAGACAACGAACGCAAGGGCGACGGTGACATGTTGAGGTAATTGGTCGGGCTGAAAGCGTTGCTGGGAGCGAGGTTGAATGCAGACTCCGGAGACACACCTCCAGACTGCGCGATGAGAGCCTCGAGCTGCCGAGAGAACGCCTCATCATCCGCTCCTCCTGTGAGATCAGAAGGATCGACATTCTTGCTGCTGCCAGCAAGTGAATTGAGGAAGTCATTGACGCTGTTGTCGGTGAGGTCGGCCCACTGCGACTGGTTGGCGAGGCTCGAGAAGTTGTTGGACGAGGTGTTGACATTCGAGGTCTGGTTGCTTGTGGTGGCGCCGTTCGAGGGGTCGCGGTACGAGGTGGCGTCACCGAAGAGCTTGGCGAACGCGTTTGACGAGGTGTCCGCCTGCGATGTCAAACCGGGTGTTTGAGTCAAGAATGTATACTGCGGCATCTGTGTCTGCATGTTGGGTAGACTGTTGATGCTAGGCGAGATGCCGGTGGCATTGCTTATGTTGGCAAGCACATTGTCGATGCCGTTGGGGTAGAAGCTCCGGAAGAGGGCCTCGACGTCCTCCTTGTTGGAGCCACCAATTGAGCTTGGCGTCGACAGCTGCTCGTTCGGACTAGCGTTGCTGTTCTGCCGCTTGAGCGCCTCTTGGAATGCAGTCTGGGCAGCGGCGTTGTTTGCCGCATTGCTACTGGCGCTGAACAGACTAGGCATCCTGTTGTCGGGACTGGGCCCCAGCGAGAACAGAGACTCGGGACTAGCCCCCGACCCACTCGAGTTGCGGTGGGGTAGTTGAGGGGATGGGTCATTGATGCTCCGCAAACTGTCGTTGGATACGCTGTGAGGGGGAGAAGGTGGCTTCCTGCTCAATGTCGCAAATTGGGACCAGTCAATGCCGGGGGGGGCAGACTGGCCATTGGTAGCCCCGTTGGTGGTCGTACCATTGACAGATGCCGGCTGCGTCGGGGTCTGTTGCCCGTTCGAGGCCTGGCCATTTACTGGCATAGAGAAGGTAAATGAAGCCTGCTTCAAGGCAACATTCTCCTCCTGTAGCCTCTTGAGGATGTTGCGCAGGTTCTCGTTCTCGACGGAGGCACCAAACGACTTGGCCTCGAGCTCCGCTACCTTCTGCTCCAACTGAGAGTTAGAATTCGCACTCCAGAGCCCAGGCGGAAGAGACACTCACGTCTCGAACTTTTGCCTCACGGCGCTCTCGGAAGGCCTTTTGGGCGGCACGATTCTGCTCTTTACGCCGCTGCGCCTTGGTCGTGGCTGTGTCCTTGCCTCCCTTCTCTCCCTTCTTGGTGTCCGTGGACTTGCGAGGGCCGCCCGATTTCTTGTCATTGTGCTGACGCTTATCATCGTGGGCCGTGTCGGAAAGGGATTCTACGTGTCAGCCACAATCGCGAATGGTGCCACTCACCGTCTCCATCATCGTCGACGTGTGCAGCGTGAGCGCCAGAAGCCTTGCGCTTGTGGCTGATGCCATTACCCTGCTCGTTGTCAGAATCGTCTGAGACTACGAGATTCATGTGCTTGGGAGCCACAGAGTCGGGCGACGAATCCTCTGGAGTGTCGCGGCCTGGGACTGGGAAAAAGGTGGAGGGTGGCATTGAAACGATTTCAGGCTCGGTCTTGATTGCATCATAGGTGAGCGAGTCGAGAAAGGCAGCAGTGTTGGGGGTGAGGGCTTCCATGGCGACGAAGGGGGGGGGGGGGGGGGGGGGGGGGGGGGGGGGGGGAGGGAACGTGCTAGCAGTGCAGCAGTGGAGAGGGGAGGGAAGGTTCGAGACGTCCGGTGAGTGGAGGTGTCACTACTCTGTGAATAAACTACGAGTGTGATGGTGGGCGAGCGACAGGCGATGAACGGTGAGAAGAGTCTGCCGTCTGGTGCTGCGCACTGTGTGGATGGACGGCAGTCAAAGGACAGGCGAGAAGCAAGGGCGGACAAGGTTCAAGGTGGTGGCGAAATGTGAGGCTTGGGTAGAAAATGTTGAAGGCCGAGTTCGACCTGCAATCGATCGGGACCTAGGCTGTTGATGATGCGCCGCTTGACGTGGGCAAGCGGCGATAGGTGAGGGTGTGACAAGGCCGAGGATGAAGAGTCCAACGAGGAAGGCAGTGTTGACAGCGTTGACAGGAGAATATGGTGATGAGCGGAACCGCAGGTCCTGCCAGTGGTCGGCGACCGAGGGAGGGGGTGTGGCAGCGTGCGTGCGGGGTTTGTGTGGGAGTGGCGTTGGGAGCACGGCGCGGGGCGGGCGCAGTGGCAGACCAACAAACGTCGGTGGGAGAAAGAGGCAGCCGACAGGGACGGGAGAAGGGCAGCCGACGTGGAGAGAGATACGGATGGTGAGGAAGAGGGATGGAGAGATAGTTGATGGAAAGATGAGTCGAGTCGCGAATGCCAGCGGGAGCGCCAGCGGCCAGCGGCTGCGAGCTGCCAGGATCGCGCGCGCAGGAAGGTGGAACCGCGAGGGACCTCTGTCGGGCTGCGGGCCCTGCGGTCGGCCACTCCCGCTGTGGTTGAGCTGCCTGGCCGCGCGCTGGGCCGCAATGACCGCCGCTTGGCCGCCTGTGTGCGGTGGCGACGGCTCGCTACGTCAATCGATTCCTCGGCTCCCTCACCGCAACCCGGCAATACGGCATCAATTCATGCCCCTGGTCTGGAACTTGATGATTCAGCGACAAGCAAAAAAAAGCCTCCGCCGGCGCGTGTTAGCCACGTGAGGTCATGCCACTTGTGTAATCGCCGACGCCATTGTACGGTGGAGGTGGTGGAGGTGGGTGGAGGTGGGTGGAGGTGGGTGGAGTGAGGGATGGCCGCAGATGATTGGATAGAACGGGAGTGGAGGTTTTGATAGCACAATCATCACCGATCACCCCCCGGCAAGTCCCTTCTCCCCCGCCCACGCCGCCCACGCACGCAACTCTCCACCAACCGGCCGTGAGCTGCCCTGCGCAGTTGCTCGATGTTGGCATCACCCGATCTCCGCCCGTTCCCCCGAACTCTGCTGCATTCCTATCCGTAGCTACCGAGAACAAGGTCCCCCCCCGCTCCTCGCTCTCCTCGGCATCCTGCAAGCTGGCAAGCTCGTAGCCGGACCCTCCCCGGCCCCCGTACAATCCCAAGTCGCGTGTCTCGCGTCTCCACACCACCACCACCTCCCCCCCCCCTCGCAACTACTCCACTCCACTTTCTTCGCTCGTGTCCGATCCGCCCCTTCATTCGCCTCCGTCCCCCGTCCCAGCAGTTTGTTTGTCCACCATCACTGCCAAGGCCTGCGCGCCTGTCAGGGGCCCATTCCTCGCTCTCTGCCTCACGCCCCACCTCTCCTCCTCTCCCACCTCTCGCGCACCTCATCATCTCGGTCCATAACGCCACGTCACTACAGTCCCCATCGCCTCCCAACTTGGACGCGTCGTCGCTTTGGCCATGTCACAACAGGCAGGGCCAACGGCCTCCACCGACGCTGCGGCATCAGACCAGATCAAGCAGCATCAATTGTTGCTCGCACATCTTCAGGCTCAGCAACAGCAGCAACTACAGCAGCAGCAGCAGCAGCAGCAGCAGCAACAACAACAACAGGGGCAAAATCAACAGTCTCAGCCCCAGGCAGGAGGTTTTGATGCCAATCTTCAGCAGCAACTGCTCGCCCAACTTGCGTCTCGCATGCCCGGCAACAACCCCGGGGCCAACAACAACATCACCAACAGCAGCAACCCTCTCTTCCCCAACCTTCCTCAGTTGAGCCTTCCAGCAGCGCGCAAGCCGAGCGGCGGCGCCGCAGGTGCGAACGGAAACGCGGGCTCGCCAGCTGGATCTGCCCCTTCACCAGCCTCTGCCGGGCCCACAAACCTCGCCGACTTGCAAACGCAGCTCCAAGCGCGCATGTTGCAGGCGCAGCAAGCTGTCAACGCCGCGACCAGGCAACGCGCAGCGTCAGGTAACGGCCCTCAACAGATCGGAGGCGCGTCCAGCGGCGCCCAGCCAAAGTTGTCGAACGGCCTACCAGACTGGGCGAACATTGCTGCGGCGTCGGGCATGCTGGGCAATCTGGGGCCCGGCGCCGATCGCGACGCGATCATGAAGCAGCTGCACATGCTGCAAGCGGCGCGAGGAACGAAGCAGAACGCTGCCGGAGGATCGACAGCTCCTGGCATGGGCGCGACCGCTCCCTCCCCAGCTTCGGTCACTGCTCCATCACCTGCCACAGTGACGGCCCCGTCGCCCGCAGCCAACGCCGGCACACCAGCGTCCCAGCCACAGCCGCCGATCGCTGCGGCTTCACCTGTCACGGCCCCTTCGCCCGCTGCGGCGGCCTTGGCTGGTGCTATCCGTCCTCCGGGGACATCGCAGTCGATCGCTGGCATGTCTTTGGCAGGCGGTCTCGCCGGGCAAGCTGGCACTCCTGGCGGCGCTGGGCCCCCTCGACCACCAGCCCGCCCGGGGCAGCAGAAGCTGAACCTCATCAACTCGATGATGGGGTTTTTCAAAACGATCAACCAAACGCCGCCACCCGAAGTATTCAACAACGGAGAGCAGCATGGCGCATTCAAACTAGGGGACGCGTGGATCGACATTGCCGAACTGTTCTTCCTCGTCTTCCGAGCAGGCGGTATGATAAAGGTACGTTCGCGCACACGTCACGGACCAGCGCTGACGGTCAGTTGATGCAAATGCCCAATCCTGAACAGCATCCCGTCTGGCAGCAGATCTTGAGTGCCAAGAACATCCCATTGACACTGCCGAGCCCAGTGACGCTCCCGCGGACGCCTGGCGATCCACAGCCACCAACGCAGACAACGACGAACGCAGCTCATTATCTGTTCGCCGCGTATCGCGCCTGGGTCCTTGGGTTTGAGCAGGCCATGGCAAGGCAAAAGCTGGTCCACATGCAGAAGCAGCAAGCACTCGCGGCGGCCGCCGGAGGAGTGCGCCCGCCCCTTGCAGCCCCCTCGCCTATCTCCGCCTCCTCTCCAGCTGCCCCGACAATCGGAGCACCTACCCCCTCCGTGGCTGCGCCTTCTCCCGTCACGATGACAGCGCCATCTCCAGCCGTGGCCGCTGCCTCGCCGGCCTTCGCCGCCCCTTCTCCTGCCGTGGCTGCTGCATCCCCAGCTGTCGCGGCTCCTTCCCCAGCGCCTTCTGCGCAGCCGCCTGCCGCTGCTCCGAGCCCGGCGGCAAGCCTTGCCGCTCAGACACCGGCTGCACAAAATGCCCCTTCCCCGGCTGCGGAAGTTGCTACTCAGTTGCAATCGCAGCCGCAGGTTGCACCCTCTCCGCTCCCTCCTCCCACAGCTGCTGGCCCGCTGGCAGCGACACTTGAGGCTCGCGCCCCGCCCCAAAAACCGCGCATTGAGATTCCCGTTGCGCCGACTCCCGCACCACCCTTGCCAGTCGCCGCCGTCGCCGCAGCTCCATCGCCGAACATGCTTGCAAACATGCAAGCAAACATCAACGGCGCCACCGGGAAGGACGCCTCTGGTAAGAGGCGCAAGCGTGCTGATAAGATGCCGGTCAAACAATCGACCCCCGGTAGCGCGGCGGACTCGACAGACAGTCCCGCTCCAAGTCAGCAGCCGTACGTCAAGCGTCCACGGTATCGCGTCGAATATCGGCCTCTGCACTTCCCTCAGCCCACGATGGCTGGATGGGACGAGAGAGTCATAGCGTCGTCTTTCCCAAAGCACAATCTCGGACGGCCAACGCACTCCGCTGCCGAGCTTGGTCCAATCGACATGGAAGCCATTCTAATGGGCCTGAAGTCGAGGCTTCCAGGAGAACTCAGCTACGCCCTTACCGTCCTGTCGTTGCTCTCCATGCCCCAGCACGACGACCGCGTACCTCAGCTGCCTATCCAGCCCATGCTCGAAGTTTACTTTGAGCTCATCGAGCTCATTGGCGAATCCGCGCTTGGAGAGGATGGGGTGGACGGCTGGTTGAGGGAGAAGGCAAAGGCTGAGGTGGCGGAGGCACCATCGCGCCGGGCGTCGCCGGTCCGTGATGAGCCGCCGCGCATGAGCTACGCGGATCTCGAGCGACTGGGTCGCGACACGGACCTGTCCGTGGACGAGGAAGATACGAGCAAAGACCAGACTGGAGGAGCGACGGACATTGTCCTCGCCGGCCTGAACATTATCAGGAACTTCTCGTATCACCACGATAACGCGGCCGTGATGGCCTGCCCACAGCTGGTAAACCTCCTTGCAGCTGTCACGGATGTCTCGCTTGGTCGCCTACCTGGTGCCACTAGCGACCGCCAACCATACTCGATTCTCGAGCTCGCTCGTGTTCGCCGAGAGGCCGTGTCTATCATGACCAACCTTGCCAATCATTTCGATCTGCGGAGGACCAAGGCGCCCGCGACGCTCGGCATCTTCCGTCTCGTGACGTCTTTCCTCATCAGCGGATGGGAGACGCTGCGACTGCGCGAGTCGGGATACGGCCCAACGATTTCTATCCGCGACGTACCTCCCTCGGCGGTGCTGTCTATTGACCGAGCGCTGGAGGCTTTCTCTCGCCTTGCACTGGCTGACCACAACCGCGAGGTTTTGGGGACACTGGTGCCGACGGACGAGTTGGTGGAGCTGTTCTCTTCGCTCGTCAAGCTCCTCCCCATCTCGACGCGCGACAAGGAGGCGATGCTGAGCATAGAGGACTACCTCGGCCGCGTTGAGCTCGCAGTCATGAGCGTGTATTCGCTGGCCTTCCTGGCTCCGACGGCCGCGCGCGCCGGCATGCGCGCCTCGCCGGGTGCGACCGCTGTCTTAACCCGCCTCGTGTGCGAGCTCGCCCCACGCGGGCCTAACCTCAAGCAATCTCCTTTCGGCATTCTCGTACGGCGCGTCGCCGAGACTCTGGCGGTGCTCAACGGCACAATGACTCCCAGCGGCAACGCCGAATCCATGAGTTTCGCGGCTGGCGGCGTGGAAGGCAAGGGCTGGCGCTTCGCCAATGACGTTGTGGAGCCTGGCTGGCTCGCTGCGGACAGCGACCGTCTCCTCGAGGCCATGGGGTGGGGCAAGGGCGACGGTAGGATCTGGCAGGTCGACACGTCCACGTTCGCTGAGCTCGACGGACTATTTCTGGGCTAAGCGGGACGGACACCTCTGTCGCCCCAGCCGGCTTTGCAGGTGCTCTCTCTTGCCGTGCGTTGTGCTGCGCGCCGTCCACGTCCCCTACATTGTTGTAGTGTAGAGTAGTAGATCATGTATACTTAGTCACAAGATGAGCTGGCGATCACTCGATCGTCCACTGACCATATTGAGCACAACAATGATACGTCGCCTCGCGGCTTCCTTTGTCTCCCCTGGTCCTTACACACCCGCGACGCTTCTGAGCACAACTAAGAGAGTGTCCATGTACAACGCTACATAATTCGGCCGGTTTCTCCCTTCCCTACTGCGTCTCTGGACAAATGCGGCGCTTGCGCCCCGCCCCCGGCCCGTGGGGATGATACTGTGCGTTGACGGGGTGCAGCGCCTGGTTGTCGACATAGCACCCGTCCGCCGTGAGCCAGTACCCGTTGAGTGTCTGGCAGGTGAGCACGATATAGTCGCCGGCATTGTACAGGCGGACGGGGGGCGCGGCGTGCGTCGCCGCCGTGCGGCAGCGCACGGCGTTGTTATGCGAGAAGATCGTGTCGTCCGGCACGGGGACGGGGGCAGCGGCGGCGAGCGCGAGGAGCGCGAAGGGGGCGAGGACTCGCATGGCTCCGGTCAGCGCTAGCGCGAGTGGGGTAGAGCGTACTTGCTTGCTTTGCGAGATGCCGAGAAGGAAACGAGACGATGAGATGCGAAGAGCGCACGACGGTGGGATACGGAATGCAGTCTGACGATCAAGGCGGTGCGTATGGGCATGTGGCGTGGCGTGGGTGTTGACCGGCGTTGCGAGGCGGCTCCGTTACCGTAACTGCTTTGTGGGAATACGCGCTGGTCGGCAAGCCGTCGGCATCGGCAGGCACCGTGTTGCATCTGACTGGGCTGACCGAGGGATGAGAAGTGCTCCTGTCTTGTGTTTGCGTGAGTGCATTCAGATCGGACTGCTGGGCGGCGGTTGCTCGGCCCGCTTGACGAGGGCTAGCTGGTGTTTGTGCCCGCGTAGCTGCGGCCCGCCGTCAGGAGTCAACATGTGAGTGGTACGCTGTTACAGCAACCAGCTGAGCCCACCATGTGCCATGCACTCAGGTGGCCTGAGGTTCAGCCTGGGGTCAGATGGACACATCGCCACTGGGAACATCGGGTTGACGCTGAGTCAAACACTTTGACGCTGCAGAATGGTTGCGCTAGACTTAGGCAGCCAGCCGCCCGATGGTTGCTGGTCTCATTACAAAGTCAGGGTTCACAGATCGCACGGTGCACGCGAGAGATATGGGCCAGAAACCATCGCATTTTGTACAACGGATCAGGCACCGCCCGACATCTCTTAACGCACGTGCGTTCATCATCATCAAAACACTGACGTCGGGGGAGTGTCTGCGGTCGCAGCGGAGACCCTGCCAAGTCCAAGAGAGATCTTGGAGTAAGACAGAGTCACAAGACTCTGGTCAGACGCTGTCTCAGCTCACACCGAATTAGGTCACGCGATCAATCATACTCTCTACTCGCGAGCGAACGAGGCAACTCCTCATCACTCCTGTACGCATGCAACTGACCGTGCATAAATGAAAGTGTCTAGAGAAGCCACGGCCCATTATGAGAGAGAGAGAGAGAGAGAGTCTATATAAGAGATTACCAGTGGGGCGCGTTGATGAACAGACCGGTGAGACAGCCCGCGGCGGTACCGGCGACGGGCACCGTAAGAACCCAGCCGAGGAAAATCCAGCCGAATGCGCGCCAGTTGACAGCCTTGAAGCCGCCGCTAATGATACCGACACCGGCGGTGGCACCGGTGATGCACATGGTGGTGGAGACGGGGATACCGTACTGCGAGGCGAGGAGGACGGTGATGGCCGCGCCAAACTCCATCGAGAAACCGCGCGAAGGGGACATGAGCGTCAGACGGTTGCCGAGCGCCGCCATCATGTTGTAGCCGTAAGTGGCAAGACCGATGACGATCATGGCACCACCGAAAGCGAGAATCCAAGTGGGGGTAGGGGTGTTCTTGGGGGTGACGACACCGTTGGCCCAGACGTAGTAGATGGCGGAGAAGGGGCCGACAGCGTTGGCAACGTCGTTGGCGCCGTGGGCGAACGAGTTCGTGCAAGCAGTCATGACCTGGAGGAACGAGTACAGGTGCTCAGTCTCGTTGCCATACTGGTCGACCTGCTGGTGCATGGCGGCGATGCGCTCGGCCTCCTTGCCCTTCTTGCCAGCCTGAGCGGCGTGAACGTCAAAGTTGACACCCTTGGTAAGGCCAGCAATGAGCTTGTAGCGGACAATGATCCAGAGGTTGCGGGGAAGGATCCAGAGACCCTCGATCTGGGGGGTAGTGTTCTTGTCCTCGTCCTCGACCTCGGCAAGAGGGGCAGCAGTGCGAGGCTGCTGCTGCTGGGGGACGGCGTCGAACTCAACGTCCTTCTCGCCCTCGTGCGAGCCCTGAGGGGTGAGCTCACGGCTGGCGTCGGCCTGAGCAGCGTCGGTGGGAAGCGTAGCGTTGGCGTTGTCGCGGTCGCGGACACGGTAGTCGGGAACGTGGCCGGCAACGATGTTGGCGGCGTCGGCGGGGGGCTGGCGCTTCCAGAGGAGGGGGCCGTAGAAGAAGTGCCAGATGCGAAGGGTGTAGTCCTTGCGAACAACCTTGCAGTAGACATAGGGCAGCCAGAAGAGGATGGAAAGGACGGCGACGACAAGGCCGGTGAGGACAATGGCAAGGGCGATAGTGACGGTCGGAAGCTCGTCAAGGTTGAGCGAGGGCGAGCCCTTGTAGATGATCGACATGGTAAGGACCGCAGCGACGGTGAAGAAGTAAACGGGCGAGATGTAAAGAGCGTTGCGGATCTGGTTCTTGCGCTTAAGGACAGCGTACTTGGTGATCAAGTAAACGACACCACCGAAGCCGGCCGCGATGGAAGGAGCGATGGCGAAACCGGCGAAGATTGTGCCCAGGCCCTTGCCACCGTTCCAGCCCCACTGCACAACACCGGGGCCACCGAGAGCGACACCGACACCCGCGAGGGCGGAGACAATCGAGTAGGTGGTGGAGACAGGCCAGGAGTTGCGGGTGGCGATCATGAGCCAAGTAGCCGAGGCGACGAGAGCACAGGTAAAGCCAAGCATCTGGACACCCGGGTTGTCACGGAAAGAAGAGAGCGAAATGATACCGTTCTTGATGGTGCCCGAGACCTTTGCGCCGACGAGGACGGCACCGAGAAACTCGCAGATGGCGGCCAGGAAACACGCCTGCTTCATCGTAAGGGAGCGCGACGACACCGAGGTTGCAAAAGAGTTGGCCACATCGTTGGCGCCTGGGTGTTAGCAAGTGGCGAAAGGCAGTGTGGCGGATGTCTCACCAATGTTGTAGGCGTCAAGGGCGCAGAAGATGAGGCCAATGGCGAAGATGTAGTCGTACTGGTGAAGCTTGGGCATGGCGAAGGTGAGTATGAGCCCGCGAGGGGTTTTTGAGTGTCTTGAGGGGTGCCCGGGAGGCGAGGTGAGGCGAGATGGGATGGTGTTGCTTGGATCAGTGGTTCGGTCTTAAGTACACCAAGCGGCAGTACACCCAGCGGTCATGCGACCACTCCGCTGACTTTTGCTCCACTCGCCGCGCCATCTCTACATGCATAGTGATGCATTACTGCGCGCCGCCGAAAAAACCAGTGAACGTGCACACTTATGCCACTCAGCGAGCTAGCGACTCGTCGCCGCTGCACACGTTTCTGGTCAAGATGACTTGGCGGTCTTGGCAGTAGGTACATTGAAACTGACCACCAGAGTGCGGCGGGTTTATTGCGCCCGCACGCCGCACCGGTCCGTCCTGGTCTCGGTCTGTCATTAGCTCCAGGGAAGCGCTCAATTCCGAGGCGCACCCAAGATTCTGCAAGGCAGAAGGTTGTGGTGCGCAGACGCATCAGCGAAAGCAAGAGGCCGCAACGTCGAGATGATCGTCAGGCGGAAAGAGAAGGTAGCCACAAAAGTCGCCCAGCCAAAGGTTATCTTGGCCTCACAAGACTCGAGGAGGCCTGGGGTAGATCTAGCGCAGTCTACTGTAGATGGAGGCGTAATCCCCTGTTGGCATGATTGCTCTGGGCAAAGTTCAAGGACGTCTGGGCACGGAGATGGCAGGCTGGACACCCAGAATCAGATTGCGCGCGACATTGATTGCCGAGTGCGGAGGTACACCCTTGCATCCCATCTGCTGGCATGCACGCGAAAACTGACGCCCACACCCTGCGGAAAGCGGAGCCTGCTCCGCATCACACCACACCCATTCTGGTCCTCCGACGTGGTCGAAAGACAAGCAATTTCGGACCCTTGGCGGTGCCGCCGGCTGAAATTCATCCAGATCTCACCTTACCACCCTCCACTCGCAGACTCTGCCGAGCGGTAGGTCCACTTGGCAGCAGCTCGGCAGCTCTTCTCCGCCGATGCGGCGCATAGTACATCCGCATTGGATCCGAGCTCCAGCCGTCGAACCACGCATACTTGGGTACATCTTGGATGCCGATACCTAGCAGCGAAATGACGATCATGTCCGGAGTCGGCGGAAAAAGACGTCAAGGCACCGGAACGTCCCATAGAACCCTGTGCTCATCACGAACGTGCATCTCGACGTTAACTCTGAACTTGCCATTCACCCCCTCGCGCCCCGCATAGCTCTAGCTCTGGAGTGAGCGACTCCCTCACCAGCATCACCGGCACCACCAGCGGCGCCAGCACCACCAGCACAGAAGTACCACCTCGCTCACCCTGCAATGTCGTCCTGGCGCGCAGCTTCGTGGCCTTGGTGCTGAGAAGCCCTGATATTGATTCATCCAACACCCAACTTTTGTTCGATCCGTCAGAACGAACGTGTGTGATTTCACCGAGCTCTGCATTTTCCGTCCTGCACGTGGGCTTCAAGCCAAGCCCTCACTGATCTCTGACCCTCCGGACCTTTGAATCTCGATCCCCTCAGCTCTGAAGGAACCTTGTGCGTACAGTATGCGCGCTGAAAACCAGCATCCACTGGCCTGTGCTACTGGCTCATGATGCTCTTGCTTGCGGCAAGCCCTCCGCCCTTCTAGCGCTCTGCAGGACGACTTTCTGTCAAGTTCCCCCACCCTATTTTCAACTCATCACGCTATCTTTCCCGTTCCTACCTCCAACCTTCGCCCTTGTCCCGATTGCGATCTGGTTTCCACTTCCCCATCGTCATCACCCTGTCGTTAGCGCGCCGCCTTGGAGCTCCTCCGTGTCGTCTGTCTCAACTTCCCTGGCCTGCATAGGAACAGTAGGCGCCGTCACATCAACAGATTGTCTACTCTGGTACAGCAGATGAGGCACTAACTGCACTTACACGCCCCTGCTTACTTCATCCAGTTTGTGCGCCCGAGTGAGCTTTCATTGAGATGCAGTCGTCGTCGCTACCGAACGCTCAGGATCGAATGTGCTATCTTGATCCTTACATCCACTAACCACCACATGAGAGATCCCACGTTCCTTCACTGTGCCTGACACTACATCATCGGTCTTGATCACCTCTGTGTTTGCGCTGCTGATACCGCGAGCCGCGGATGTATGACGGCGTCGATCTTGGCCTGCTTAGAGCTTATTCGACACTAGTGGGTGATCACGAGCACGTTGCTGTGTCGGCTTCTTTGACTGAGCGCTCTTCAAATAGTGGCCGACGAGCATTCTAGCTTCCCCATCTCGAAAAGAGCAAAAATGGTCGCGCTACAGCTTCTCGCAGCGGCGCTTGCTGCTACTGCGGTGCATGCTCAGACGTTCCGCCGTACGGCGGCTTGCCCCAAGCTCGGATGCGTGTTCCCGCCCGACCAGGTCAACTTCATCGCCGGCCGTGAGTCTTAGTTGTGCCACACCTGACATACAGAGACGTTCGACATCCGTGTAGAGGTCCAAGCGCCTATCAATGGCACACAGGCATTCAACGGGGGTAAGGTCGACCCCAACTTCAAGCTCGAGATTGGAGGAGAGGGCGCCGAGCTTATCGATGTCACTCAGTTCTTCGGGCTCCAAGACCCCAAGCCTGAGAGCTATAACTTCACCTGGTACGAAGACCTGTTTGCCGAGGACGCCAAGACGCCTAGCGCCGTCAATGTCATCGCTAAGAGTTACCGCAATGTTCAGCTGCACAACCCTGGCCGCTACAAGGTCCGTCTGACCTTCAACGGCGGCGACACGCAGGAGGCGACTTGGGAGGTCAACCCCATCCCCGATTGTGCAAAGGCCAAGAACCTCCTCTTCTTCGTCGGCGACGGCATGGCAACCTCTATGATCTCTGCTGCGGTGAGTCGCTCGTTAGTCACCGTCTCTGCCGGTGTCGATATATGTCCGTAGGTCTGACAGCAGCGTCTCCTTGCCCACAAGATGATCAACGGCAAGTACCAGACGCACATGGCGTTCGACTCGGCTCAGGGCTATGGATCCCAGATGACCCACTCGCTTGACAGCTTCATCACGGACTCGGCCAACAGCGCCTCCTCGTTGTTCACTGGCCACAAGATGACCGTCAATGGTCTCAACGCCTACACGGACTCGACCGGCAAGCCTTACAACAACGCCAAGGTCGAGACCGTCTTTGAGATGTTCCGCCGCACCACCGGCGGACAAGTCGGAGCCGTGTCTTCGGCATTCATCGCCGACGCAACCCCGGCTGCCATTTGCGCCCACACCTCGCAGCGCTCCCAGTACCACACTGTCATCGAGCAGTACCTTAGCGGTGTGACAATGAACCACAGCTGGACGCCATGGGGTGGCGTCGACGTCCTCTTCGGCGGAGGTGGTGAGTCCCTGTAACCTATGCGGACGTCCACTCACAAACAGCCGAGAGCTTTATCGCCTCCGCCGCGAACGGCAACGTCGACCAGTTTGACCGCTGGGGGCAGCACGGATACCAGGTCGGCTTTAACAAGACGCAGCTCGAAGCGTTCAGCAACGACCAGCGCGCCCTTGCCATTTTCACTCGTGGCAACGTCTCGACTTGGCTCGACCGCCATATCTACACCGACGCTCTCAAGTACGCCGTTCAGCCCGACGGCACCCAGGGTGCCTACGACCAGCCCGGCCTCAAGGACATGACCATCAAGGCTATCGACATTCTCAGCACCCGTGCCAAGGCCCGCGGCACCGGCTGGGCGCTCATGTCCGAGGCCGCTCTCATCGACAAGAACATGCACGTGGGCGATATTGACCGCGCACTCGGCGACCTCCTCGAGCTTGACGACACCGTCCGTGCCGCTCTCAAGCACCTTGAGGAGATCGGTGAGCTCGAGCAGACTCTTATCGTCGTGACGGCCGACCACGGGCACGGCTTCGATGTCTTTGGCTCTGCCGACACCAAGTACCTCAAGGAGCAGAAGGAGGACCGCAAGAAGCGCGACGCCGTGGGTGTGTACGAGAACTCCGGCCTCTCTGCGTATGTTGTCCCGAAGAACGTCAGCCCAACCACGCACGAGATCTTTGAAAACCCCCAGGGCCACTTCCCTATCACCTGGGACCCGCGCTACACCCTCGCGCACGGCTACGCGGCAGTTACTGACCGCCGCGAGGACTACGAGGTCAGCAAGGAGCACGAACGCATCCCGTCGGCGCTCGGTGCGGACAAGACTCAGGGCTACTTCTTTAACCCCAACGACAGCCCCGACGGTTTTGCCATGACCGGCAACCTGAACACTCAGAGCGGGCAGGGAGTGCACTCTCTCGTCGATGTGCCCATTTACGCCTGGAGTGCCGGGCACGAGCTGTTCCGCGGCGTCATGAGCAACGTTGACATTGCGTTCCGCGTGGCCGATGCGCTCGGCCTCGGCCACACTTCCAATGTCACCAAGCCCTACAAGCCTTGAAGAGGGCGCACAAAATGATGAAAGCCAACTTATAATCGGAGATCAAAGTAGCTGTAGCTGTAGTATGAATGAGGGTAACATGAGCGGCAGGCTGCCCCGTTGCATCGCGTGGAGCTCGCCAGCCTTCGCACCTCTTTCCTCCGAAAGTGAGGCGCCTTGCTTGAGGTCTCCCGGCGCGTTGGGCGACGCACAGCAAGCTGTAGCACATGATCTGTGCATGAAATCCCCCCGAGCAGCGTGAGGCCTCCAGCCGCGGTGATTGATGTGGCCACACTGATAGTGTAGTGGTTAGCATAAGTGCCTTCCAATGGACAAGCACTTGACCGGGGTTCGAATCCCCGTCAGTGTAGCTTTTTAGAAGTTATCGAGTGAGCTACGCATGTCTCAGCCGTCTTGAACAGCCATTTGCCGGAACTCGATCGACTTTGATGTCGCACGACCGGTAGTCGCGGACCAACGCACCGGGGACATTGGTCCGAATGTGATGCTCTTCTCAGCGCTTCCCGAGGTGAGCTTACAGGTAGAGCGTCATCTCGTCTGTCCCGGCGCGGCAAGCCATGTCACAGATCGCTGAGTGCACTCCGCTCCGTCGAGGCACAACTACCCGGGGCATCCGGGGTTGTGATTAATGTCCGACACATGACGTATCGGAGTCACCGGAATTCAGCACATGACTTCGGCTTTGAGAGAGCCGCATCGCTAACCACAGTGTAACCGGCATCTACTCTTTGATGATTACTACAACGTCGTCCCCTTGCGTTCTCGTCCACACCATGCACGGGGTCGATTACAGCGCCTACCCGCACATTATCGACCAGGTTCTGTCGCACGCCGATACGCAAGGCCTCAACGCTTTTCGCTGCGCGTCACGCGCCGCCTTTGCCAAGGTCGAGGCGATCTATCTGCGAAGGGCGCGGCACGTTACTCCCTGCACCGGACGAGATGGACGTGTCGTCTTCCCTAGCTGCGGCGCCCTACCCTCTCTCACCATCGCTGATATGGAAGATCTCACCTCCGGCGCCCACCCGGTCCTCCGGCGGCGATACAGCGCAGTAAAGGTTGTGGATCTTGGCCCGAAGTCAGACCTGGGCCCCTCTCGCTGTAGCTTGCGCCGTCTTCTGGACGGCATACACACTGTCCGCATCGTTGGCGACCTCAGTGGGGCGATGCCCTTCGCACCCGCCGTTGTTGTCGTGCCCGCCGACCTCGGGCGCCCCGAGCCCTTCCGCGGTTGGCAGCTCGCCGACTCCCTCGTCGTCAACTTCACAGTGGGCGCCGGCGGCGCCCTTGCCATTGCCTTCTTCCCACCCTCGGGATACTACGGTCCCACCTCGCTCACGCTGCTTTTCACGCGTTGCCTCCGCTCCAAGCTACAGAGTCTACCGCATGGAGCCCGCCTCGGCGCGCGCCTGATGGCCGATCTCGCACGAGTGGTGTGCGACGGGCACGCAGTGACGCTCGTGGACTGGGACAACGTCTCCGCCCTCTTCCCGCCAGCGACACGGCCTGAGGACGTCGAGCAACTGCGCACGTGGGGCGGGCAAGATCACAAGGCGGCGAGAAGGAGTGCCTGCATTCGCCGACTCGCGCGGTTGGCCTTTGAGCCCGGGTGCCAGAACGAGGATGAGGGCGAGAAGATTCGCTGCCTCACTGCCGATGAGTATCGCTGTGAGATTGGGGGCCAGGCGTACGCCGACCAGACAGAGGGCCTGCACGAGAGCGTCCCCTACATGAAGTAAGGCAGGTGCTTCGCTTGTGATTGCCTGTCGCGGAAGGGGGTGGGTGTTGGCCATACCGCTCTAACTCAACCCGGCAACAATGCTGGGCGTCACCAGAGTAGGGACGGACTCGGCTTCTGAACCGCACTCTTATCGGCAGGAAGGAAAAGGCCATCACGCCGGACCCAGCTTGAGCGGGGGTCCATTGAAAGCACCCAGAGTCCGAGCGTTCAACCACATGAAGGATGTTGGCACGCACTGGGCCATTGTGACGACGGGCAAGGCTGCCCGCTAAGAAGACCGCTGTTGCTACCGACGCTCATTAAACCGATCCTGTAGCGCACAGACAACCAAGCGGTCCACTCGCGCATCTACGACCCCTGACGATCGACGGCGTGCACCCTTTTCAGTATGTAGCGTGGATGGAATCGTGTGACCTCCAGCAGAACAGCTGCTCCAATCAGAGGAATGCGGTAGGAGTGGCACTAAGATGATGACCGGAGGCGTGGTGTCGATCGTTTGACTACCCAGCATCAGGAACGGTTGAATTGTCGTGCGGGAGCCATGATACTGAAGCGCCGGAGCGCTGGTGCAGTGGTGAGAGTGACACATGACTACATCACTGATCGTTGATGGACAGCGCCTACTCTATTCAGGGGCCGGATAATCACACTCGACCTGGTCTATGTTTCCGCTCGAACCGACCGCCACATTCAGGACGATCTAGGACGAGAGGGATGCGAGTAACAGTGGATCTCTAATGCCAATCCGCAACTTTGTGGCACTCCGCCGCTTCACCCTGGGTCTCTCTGCTGATGACAACTCTCAGACTCCCACGCCGCTCCCATGGCCTTTCACTGTATGCATCTATTAAGGACAGTTTGCGTGAAGGCGAGTACAGAGTGAAACCGATGAAATGTCCGGATTATAGTGTCTATTGGAGTCCTGATGAGGTGAGATAAGGCCGCAATTGCTCAGTCGAACAGCGAGTGAGAGCCGGCCATCCACTGAACCTCTTAGTCTTCGTGCTTGTTGCAGTAGAGTTGGCCTGATGTCAGTTGCTGGGTCTCATGAGAATTTCATGCCACTCACCCTCCTTGTTTCCGATGCAGGCGTTGAGGTTGAGCGAAGCCTTGGTGAGGACGCCTTTCGAGTTGGGGCACATGCAGTTGAGCGTCTCGCCGTCGACCGAGCACGCAGTGCATCCTCCAGTGGTGGTGAATCCACTAGGCATGCACATGAGAGTACCTGCTGTCAGCGATGTCACCGTCGTGACACTAACCCTTGTTGGGCGTGATGCAGTTGTTGAGGTCGAGCGAAGTGGTGAAGACATTCCCGAACGAGTCCGCGCAGGTGCCCGTCATGATGGCGCCGCTTCCGGCGAAGTTGTAGGTCACGTCGGCACAGGTCTTGCGGAACTGAACGCTGCGAGCGGGAAGAGAGGTGTGCGAGGGCTTGGAGCGGCGTGCGAGTCGGTTGGCCTTGCAAGCGGCGTCGCAAACACGGGGCTTTTTGAGAGGCAGGCCGCGGGCGAGAGCCTGGGCATTGGTGAGCGCGCGCCCCTGCGGCTGAGGGACGGGGACGGCGGCAGCGAGGGCGACAGCGGCGAGGAAGAAGGAGGAGATGAGAGTCGTAAGGCGCATTGTGGCGAGAGGCGACGAGGTGTGGATGTGAGGAGGAGTGAAGGAGCTGTGAGAGAGTCCGAGAGGGAGAGGAGTCGGATTGGAGAGAGGAGACCAGTGATGGGGACTGTGCACGGCTGCAAGTGCCTCTTATGAACTCCTCAAGCTCCCCCGGATCTCGAGCGACGCCCACGCTCTCACGTTTGGCGAGAATAGCTATCATAGGGTTGCGCACAGCCATGCCGCCCGTGCGCACAAGTGGGTGCGAGCCGAGCAAGCCCGGCTCCTCGACGCCTCAGGAGCCAGTCACCGGACGCCGCGAGATCGCAAGAGGCACCCCAAGAGAAGATTTCGCGCTTCGCACGGCACTCTGCGCCGGTGGGCGTTCCGCTGTGCCGGTCGCAAGCTCACAGCTCGCCCTCGTGCTCAGCGCCCACGCTGCGTTACTCCGGGCCTCGGATCGAAATCCCCGAACCCTCTTCCTGTTCGGATGCAGCTCGGCCCTGTGCGCTGCTCACCACGCGCAACGTGGTGACGGCAACTAGGCAGTGTACGTGCTCTGTCAGATCTGCGCCAAGTGGCTGGGTCCAGCTCGCGCCCAACACTGCAGCAGTACTTCGTGGCGGCGCGGTTGATGAGGCTGTTCCATTCCTTGCGGCCCCAAACCCTGGGTGCTTCCAAATTCAGAGCGCCACCGCCACGCTCCATGACCTGCATGGCGATCCTATTCACCCCGCACGTCCCTCCACACCCATCTCCTGCATCCTACATGTCTGCTCGTTTTCGCGATCGGCGGCGCATCACTTACGAGTTGTAACGAGATTAAGCGTGCGGGGAGGTCACAGATGCTTGTCCGAGTTTGGGTTGGACGATCTGTGCGCAGGCCCAGGCCGCGGAACCATTTCCAGCTCGGCACCCTCCAAGTCATGCAACCCTCTTTGATCGTTTAAACCTTTCGTCCGTCGGTCGTGCTTGAGGCGCCCCGGAATCTGGGCCCACCTGCCGGATGCCACCTGATGGTGATCAAGGTATGCAGATGATGACTCCCATGCAAATGGCTCCGATAGGTCCGACTGCCTCCAGGCCTCTGGTACAATAAACCCAGATTTTGGGGTACAGGGAAAGTAAACGCCATGGCGTAAGGTAATCAGGTAAGGTTATCAGGGCAGATGAAGCCTTCGATTACCGTGCAACGACGGCAAGCGCCGTCCACCTACGCCTGCTAACGGGCTCACATGTCAGGCTTGGGAGAGGACGTTCGTCTGCGAGCTGTATCCTTTGGACGTGTGGGAATAAGCGGCGGAGCATCGCCCACCTGTCGCCCTCCGCAGCCAAGATGTATAACCGCACCGATATGGGACCGATATGGAAACGATATGGGTAGCTCGGTGTCTATCTGCGGCTGTTTCGCACACGTAAGGGAGAGCGAGTAGCCCCGCTGTGCAGTTCTCAGCGCTCCTCTTGAGCGCTCCATACCTTGCACTCCACATACGCCTTCCGCGTCCGAGGTAGACGGCGTCGGCTGTGAGAAATCAAGTGTACGCAAACACCGATAAGGTACCCGCCTCAACTTGCCGTCATCGGCTCCAACCTTCCTAAACATTTAACAACCATGGTAAATAAACCGCCATTGATCCTGCAGCATGCTCGATGCAAGTTGCGTCTCTGTCCAGCAAAAGAGACACTCGTGTTCCACCTAACAGACTCGAACTATTGACCTCGACATTACTAGTGTCGCGCTCTACCAACTGAGCTAAGGTGGAGGCAATGGTGAGCGATCTTGGCGACGCGGGCATGCTCCAGGCGCTCCAGGCGCTTCTGTAGTGCAGGACGCATGCACTGTCCTTCGGGGTCCCAAACTAAGGTGAGTGCGGACGAGACAGAAGGAGAGGTAAGAAGAGCTGTAATGGTGTTTGAATGGTATAAGCGGTGGAAGGCGCTGTGAAGGCGGGAGTTTCCGGTCATTATCGGCCAATTTCCGATCCACTCGACCACAGGGTTACTATTGTGCAGCCCAGAGCGCCTCTTCGCTCCAGCCAGCCACTGCAAAATGCGCAGATGGGCGTGTCCTCTCGTCTAGCTGTGTCAGGCTGGCTATATCGTGAGGCTTGCGATCAGCAGATGCGTTCAAAGTTGAGAATATTGAAAACCTCCGCCTTGTTCACCTCAGGCCGTGACACATGCTGTGGGACAGTTTGCCCTGAGAGGCATCCACAGCGTGAGCCACCCCCCTCCATCCTGCCAACTAAGCCCTTTGAGGTCGTGCGACCTTCATTACTCGTGCAAGGACCCCACTAACTATTGCGATGCACTCTTGCGTTCACTGCTTCTACCCCCACGTAACGCACTACAACACAACCTCCCCGTTCTCTGGTCCCTCCCTGCACGCATACGCTCGATTGCCTAAAGTTGCTTCATCAAAGTGGCATGCGGGTGCAGCATCGACTACCAGCAGCGTTGACACCACTCGGATGAAGCATGTCAACAGAACCCAAGGGCGCATGGCCTGCACGTGGAGTCCTCGTGGCTGTGGAGTTGCAATTTTCGGCCGATGACGTTCTCAAGCGGATTGGCCGAGATTCGAAAAGACGTGTGGAAAAATTCAACAAGAGCGCGGGGAGTGGTCGGCTGCTGGGTGCTGGGTGAGTGTCGCGGGCGGGCCTAGAGCGTGTACAAGGACGAACGGGAGCAAATAGCCCAGTCCGTCGGCACGACTCGATCTCGCCGGCTATGAAGGATTCCAGCCGACCAACCACCGCTCGACTATAGAGCTCTCTATTTCTCAATTGACTCGAATTAACAAAAAGGCCCCGCCTGCTTAACTCGCCTCGTTCAACCGCCGACGCCGCCCGCCCTGCTTCCCGACCCCGACACTCACGACGTTCACGCACATTCTTGTCATCGCTCCTCCTCTCATCGCCACCACTCTCACGCAAAGGGCCATCTTGGTCCATTAGCCTCCTTCACCAAAAGACAGCGCCTCACCTCGCACCTCAAAACGCGCTTCTCCCCGCCTCCACACCAACTTTTTCCCTCACCCCGCGCCCCCGTCGCCCCGCGACCCATCCCGCCTCCATCATGATCTCGCGTCCGTCCAGCGCGATCCTGCGCAATATCCCGGCTACCCGCTCCGCCATTGTCGCGCAGCAGGTCCGCTACCGCTCCTCTAACGCCTCGTCCTCCAAGTCGGGCCAGCAGAAGCTTTCAACTTCCGCCACCACGGCAAAGGCCAAGCCGTTCGTCGAGTACGCTGGCCAGAGCCCCGAGGCCAAGGCCCGCGTCCACGAGCAGGTGAGGAGGCTGCAGTCGAGCGCCACCTCGACTGGCGCCGCCGCCGTTCGTCCCGCCCCTGCCCCGCACTTCCAGGCCCCACCTAACCAGAACACTCCCGACTCGCCATTTGCCCCCCACAAGGGCGATCCCAATGTCAAGGACGGCTATGACCACACGTGAGTCGCCCCGTCGTCGTTAGGGCTGTCGTACGTTACTAACGCCCACAGCTTCGTTGGCATGTCCGGAGGACAGATTTTCCAGGAGATGATGCTGCGCCACGATGTCAAGCAGGTCTTCGGGTATCCCGGAGGTGCTATTCTGCCGGTCTTTGACGCGATCTACAACTCGCCTCACTTTGACTTTGTTCTTCCCCGCCACGAGCAGGGTGCCGGTCACATGGCCGAGGGCTACGCCCGCATCACCGGCAAGCCTGGTGTCGTTCTCGTCACCTCTGGACCGGGCGCGACCAACGTCATTACTCCCATGCAGGACGCGCTCTCGGACGGTATCCCCATGGTCGTCTTCTGCGGTCAGGTCGCGACCAACCTCATCGGCTCGGACTCGTTCCAGGAGGCCGATGTCGTCGGTATCTCGCGTTCGTGCACCAAGTGGAACGTCATGGTCAAGGACATTGCCGAGCTCCCCCGCCGCATCAACGAGGCTTTCAAGATCGCCACCACTGGCCGCCCTGGCCCCGTCCTCGTCGACCTGCCCAAGGACGTGACCGCCGCCATTCTCCGCACCCCCATCCCTGCCAAGTCGGTCCAGCCCGGCCAGTCGCCATACCTCCCCACCAACCCGCTCAACCCCGGCTGGGCGCAGGCTCAGGCTCCCGGCGAGTCGGAGCAGATCACCGCCGCCGCCGACATGATCAACCGCGCCAAGCGTCCCATCATCTACGCCGGCAACGGTGTCCTCGCCTCCCCCGAGGGCCCCAAGCTCCTCAAGCAGCTCTCGGACATTGCCAACATCCCCGTCACCACCACCCTCCAGGGTCTCGGTGCCTTTGACGAGCGCGACGACAAGTCGCTCCACATGCTCGGCATGCATGGCTCGGCCTATGCCAACTTTGCCATGCAGGAGGCTGATGTCATCATCGCCCTCGGTGCCCGCTTTGACGACCGTGTCACCGGCAAGGTCGACACCTTTGCCCCCGCTGCCAAGCAGGCCGCGCTCGAGGGTACTGGTGGTATCATCCACTTTGAGATCCAGCCCAAGAACGTCAACAAGATTGTCGAGGCGCAGATCCCGGTCCTCGGCGACGTTGTTGCCTCGCTCGCCGAGCTCGTTCCCCAAATCAAGCCCGTCGACCGCTCCGGCTGGGTCGGCCGCTGCAAGGCCAACAAGGAGAAGTACCCCTTCGTCTTCACACCTTCGAAGGAGGGCGAGCGTCTCAAGCCCCAGGAGGTCATCCGCGCGCTTGACAAGCAGGCCGAGATCATCGGCAAGGACAAGGTCATTGTCGCCACCGGTGTCGGCCAGCACCAGATGTGGGCCGCGCAGCACTACCGTTGGTCCGAGCCGCGCACCTGGGTCTCGTCGGGTGGTCTCGGCACCATGGGCTTTGGTGTGCCCGCCGCCATCGGCGCCAAGGTCGCTGCGCCCGAGAAGGTCGTCGTCGACGTCGACGGCGACGCCTCGTTCTCCATGACGGCCATGGAGCTCCAGACTGCCAACCAGTACAACATTGGCATCAAGGTGCTGCTCCTGAACAACGAGTTCCAGGGCATGGTCGAGCAGTGGCAGGACCTGTTCTACGAGTCGCGCTTCTCGCACACGCGCATGGTCAACCCCGACTTCCAGGCCCTCGCGCGCTCCATGGGCTGCCACGCCCTCCGCTGCACCAAGCAGGAGGACCTCGAGCCCATGATGAAGGAGTTTATGGAGTACGACAACTCGCGCCCCATCCTCCTCGAGTGCGTCGTCTCGTCCGAGCACGTCTACCCCATGGTGCCCGCCGGCAAGGCGCTGCACGAGCAGATTCTGCACCCGCTCCTGCAGAAGAAGAACACGGCATAGTTTGGCCGAAATCCACCCCGCAAGCGCAGACAACATGCGCGCGGGTAAAAGTCTTATCAGTATCTTGTTTAGTAGCAATCGGCGGCGCGGGCATAGAGGGAGTCCGAGATGTACTCTGCACACGGATGCGTTTCGTTCTCTGAGGGTGACCTTGATTTCGATGCGGAGATTCCATCATGTCCTCGTTTCTTTCCGCGTACTCTACAGATATCGAGTCCCAGTCGGTGGGGCCTCTACATATCTCTGCAACACTGCATGCACAGTCGCATGTAGCCCCACGAGTAGCTCGTCAGTGCGCTTCTCGGCCCGGCCTACTCGGGCCGACACCTCTCGTCCCCCGTCCTCGTGGCCAAGTTAGCTCTCGCCGCATCCATCGAGCACGGCAGGCCCGCTTTCGTCTCTAACGCCGTCGAGGCGTCGCTCTCGGGCCCAAGCTGATCAGTGCCCAGGGGCCTTGCCTCTCGAACCACTAACGGCTCCGTACGAACGCAACGGTCGGCGCGAAGCAAGAGATGCATAGTGTATATGGAACGCAGGGAAGACATGCGCCGTAAACATGGCTTGGACGTCTGCACGCGTGTCGCCATGCCGTGCGATTGCTCGGCAGACGCCTGGCTGCGCCGGTCTGGCGCAGACGGGCACGTCAGCGCGCCAGCTCGTCCGACAGCGCGTCTGAGCGCCGCATCGCTCGGCTCGCACTGCCCGGCAGGGCAAGCAGAACACGCGATTGGGCCTCAGCTGGCAATAGGAGGCCGTACGTTTTCGCGCCGCCTTCCGCATCACCTCACATGTCAATCACGATACCAATTTGGCATGGGTATCGCGATCGCAGTGTGGCGCGGCCCGCCTGGCCCCCCCCCCTGGACGCTGTGCTCTGCTATAGCGCGCAGCACGACATTCGCGTCTCAACTGAGGGCGGTGATCTGGGCGGCCAAAAAACAAGTGTTGCAGCAAAAGATATCACCGCTGCCGATATTTTTAAGCTCCGATATCTCTTTTGTTGTTTGTCTTGAGGAATCTGTTTGATTGTCTTGAAGAATCCACGTCTGTTAGTAATTGTCTTGAAGAATCCACGACTGTTTTTGCTTGTTTGTCTTTTGGAGTCGAACATCCGACTATTGTTTGTTGTCTTGAAGAATCGCTGTTTGAATCGATGATTCAGCTTTCCGCCCTCATGACCAGTCAGCTATGTGAGCTGACTGCGGGTGGTGGGATTGGCATCGCGGCCCTTTTGAGGGCTAAACACCGGCCTCGGGGGTAGGCCAACGTGCCAATCCGGCCGTGAATCCGGGCCGTCACGGCCGTCTCGGCCGTCCGACGTCGCTGCAAAAAGAACACCTCGCGGTAGGCTTGAAGACATGAACACACCTAACGGCTTGTCCTTGAGACTTGCGCACCACATCGCGCGCGAAACTTCTCGCCGGTCGCCGGGATCCTCCAGCTTGCTGCATCTGCATGCTTAGCGCGGAGGGCAAAAGTGGACGCAGCAAAAGATATTTGCGCCGGACAGCAGTGATATCTTTGTCGACTTGATTATGATTCGAACCACAGATGTAGGAGAAGTAAAGGACAATCGTAATTGTCTCTTGCGCCCTCTTGACCGGTATCTTATGTACCGCGGGTGCTAGGGATGCGATTTCGCTCTTTTTGAGACCGAAAATGGAGGGGCTGGGGGGTCAAGTGAATTTGGCCGAATGTCCAAGTGGGTGAACGAACACCCAGCCATTCGGCATGGTATGGTAGGTCATGATTGCGGTGAGACCAAGTGATGCACAGGGAAGGATCGGCACTGGGGAGAGAGGTGGAGTTGACGTGGCGAGCGGCCACACATCCTCACGATGCCACACACGGAGACGTCAGTGGAGGGCACTCACTCTGGTCCTGAGCCGACGGCGTCGGCGGAATGGCGCGTGCAAGGACTCGATTAGGAAGGCAGTAAGCGAAGGGGTGCGTTCAGACTATCATGGGTGGTGCCAACGACCAAGTCAAGGACTGGAAGGGGTGAGAAAAGGCGACGAGTCGAGGGAATGCCGTCGCCCACGACCAGGAGGTGATGACGAGGGGAGGACAACAGCGGGGGAAGAAGAGTGGTGTGATGGCGCCACATAGTGGGGGGTAGATATTTCAGCGTCGTCTTGAGCGTCTAAAGACGAGCGAGCAGCAAGAGCCGTCGAGAAAGAGGTCGAGAGGGAGTATGAGAAAAGAAGAATGTGACAAGTGCGACTGCCACTTTTCGAGACGTGATGCGCCCCCATCCATGGCCAATGAGAAGCAAGGAGAGCTGGTCGGCAACCTTGGACCTCGCGTGGCGCCAAGTTCCCTATCAGCATTTATCCCTTCGTTCCATTCCGGATCGCAGTGACTGATTTCAGTATTCCTCTCGACTCTCCCTCCTTTCTTCGATGTGTCCATCCAAGTCCCACACTATCATCATATTATACTGCCAAACTCATGCACCGCTACCATCACGCTAGCCTCTCACAACATGGCCCTCCGCGCCTCGATGACCATCACGGCGGACCCGAGGTCGTGCGACCCGCGCCGCGAAACGGTAGGCGACGTGAGCGGCGAAGTGAGCGGCGACTGGGCCCACGGCTCGCGGTGTTCCGCCATGGAGACGACTTGGCCGTCGTTGACGCGGCGTTCGATGACGACGCACGTCCGGATGGCGGTGCCCTTCGTGCGTTCAGACGGGTTTGGCTTGCGGCACAGCCAGACGTCCTGGCGCGGTCGTGGGCTGGACGGGCTCGATTGGCTCAGAGGGCTCAGAGGGCTCAGAGGGCTCAAAGGAGGTGTGGGCTGGGCCTGGGGATGGGGATGCGCGGAAACGGACGCCGGAGCGGAAGCCGGAGGAGACGGTGACAAGTCGAGATGCGACGGCGCAAAGTCCGCGACGCTGTGCGGACGGGCTACGACACCGTCCTCCCACACCACGGTGGCGCGGTGCCGCTCGCTGCCGGAGCGCAGGAGGATCGGGCGCGGCGGGGGGGAGCGCGCAGGCGGAGCGGACTTGACGCCGGCTTTGGTGAGCACTGTGTCGACGGCGTCGCGCCAGGGGCTGCCGGGGCGAGATGAGTACGGGGTAGCGGCCGACGCGGGACTGGGCGTTGGAGAGGACGCTTCGCCGACGCCGGCGACGCGCTTCCAGCGCTTCAGTGCTTGTGTCGTTGTGATAGCGAGCCGTAGGCGGCGCGCGGGGGTGGGTAGCGTCCTGGCGTCAGAAGCGGGTGGGTGAGATGACATGTCGCGGGCGATTTCAGAGGAACTTACGTTGCCATTATCCTGGTGAGGTGTTATGACGAGATACCGTGGTTCCCAGCGAGTGAGTTTAAGAACTCTCGTGTGTGCCGAGATGGCTAGCAGTGTCCCGGATCGGACGGCGACTTGTAGCTTGTGGTCGCGGATGGACGGACGGACCTGCGCGCCGGACGTCAGGCGGTGGCGCAACGGAATATGTGACAGGAATGTTCGGGATGTCACAAGGGGTGAGGGGCGGGAATGCTGGCGTAAGAGTCGCGGATGTCGCGAGTATCGTGAATGTCGTGAGTGTGATCTTGTATGCGCCGCGGGAACGGTCAAATGTGCTGGTACGATGGTGGACTGCATATGGACTGGTAGTGGGCGATGTAACGTTGTTAGTGGGAGGCGAGGGTGGCACGATCGGCGGGCGAAGGGGCGTGCACAATGGATCGGACCATGAGGAGCCCCGTCCCGTCGCCGTCCCCGGCCGCCCCTCGCGCCATAGCTTTTGCTGCCCAATTGGTAACATCAGACGTGATGCAGCTCCTGGTGTAACGGGCAAAGGGGGCTATAGCGCCCTCGCTTGGGTATCGGTGAGACCGAATCGCATGCCATGCTCGACTATATCTCGACTCTATGACGCCTACAGGCCGATCTCCTTGAGCTTCCAGAAGTCGTCACTGGTGTTAGCGGTGTTCGTGTTCGCCCTTTCGCTGGCCCTGGCAGCCATGGCCATCACGTCGCCATTGATGCGCCAGCAGCGCCGAAATTCCAACGTCGCCATGGACATGAGCCTGAAGTATTGAAGCCCGCTGGCACGCCCACAGCTCCACGGCTCAGACTCACCCAACCCAGCACACGACCTCGACGGCCACACCCTTGCCCGCCTTGCGGATCTCTTCCGAGCTCGCGCTCATTCGCCCGATACCGCACGCATGCTCTTTGCCCTCGGCGTGGATGGCGACGATGGCGTCCTTTGCCAGCCCGTCGGGCAGCACGCCACCCTTGCTCAGCAACCCCGGGGCCATCATGTGCGCGCCGGCAAGCAAAAACTTGATGGCGCCGCGGTCAATCTGCACGTGCGGCAGCAGCGCGGGGTAGCGGTGCAGCACGCGCAGCGTGGGCATGAACGGCCCGTCGAAGTGGTTGAAGAAGATGGGCACCGAGCTGACCGTGTAGATGTTTATCCGTTCGTGGCTGCATCAGCATGGCCGGCGGCCGGCGGCAGGCTTACCACTTGGTGATGCCGAGCGGCTCGTTCTTGGGCCACAGCTCGTCGAGGACCTGCATCTCCTTGTCTTCCGCGGGGGCCGGCACCTCCTCCTTCTTCGCCTTCTTGCCGCCCTTGCCCCCCTTCTTGCCGCCCTTGCCGCCCTTGCCCTTGCCCTTCACTGGCTCCTCCTCCTCCTCTGGCTCAGCGGCTGGAGCGGGGGCAGGCTCGGCTGGTGGAGCCGCCGTCTCTCCGCCTTCCTTGTAAGCTGGTTGCGACAGGAGAGGGAGCTGCTCCAGCAAGCTGTTGCGCACGTGGCGCTGCACGGACGACTTGAGCGACGTCGAGCCAGACACGTCCTCCTTTACGCTGAACCTGGGTCTGTCAGCGGAGGCGATGGGGGCGCGTACTTTTTGAACATGGCGGTGGTTGTGGTAGATGGAGGTCGATGTGTGGTTGCTGGACTGTGGATATGGATGTCATGGCTTTTGCGCGGAATGTGAGGGATCTCCGTGTCCTCCACCTTTGTGGTGATGGTGTGTGGTACAGGTGTCAAACGAGGCTGTTCTCAAAAACATGGTGAAATGAGTGTTGCTTCCGCCATTCGAGGCACGTGGCTGTCACGTGATCTGTTCATCACCAGTCCGCGCGCCAGCGAGCGCGTCATGCCATCAAGACCAAGCTTACATTGCCTCGCAGCCTGCGCATGGCTGCAGACAATGTCAGCAGCACGCCTACAAATGCCATCGCTAATAAGCGGGACTCGGCCGCTTATATGCCCACCGAGATCCCCATGGACATCCAAATGTGCCGTTCATCGTTAGTGTCACCACCTGCCAAGGCCTTGGCGGTCATGTGCAACTCGCTTCGCTTCAGCGGCGCAGCTTGGCCGGCATGGCCAAGCTTGACCGCATGGTCCTTCACGTTCTCCGCTGGAACGCAGATATTGGGACGCGACGCAGATAAAGCCTCCTCTGCCAGGAGAGATTTCATGCCGCTCCAAAGCTCGGGCACGGAGATTGCTCGGCGTGTGGGGCTGGAGTGATGGCATGCCGAGGCCAGATAACGGCCGGAATGTGCCTCGGAGCTTGGAAGCTCGGAGGATCGCAGATTTGATGGAGCAGCTGACCGACGATTGCGCCCAGTGTGCCGTGAGCTTACGGCTGTGAACCTCGAAATAGCCCGCGCTACACTAAGAAGTCGGTCTAAAGTGGCACCATAATAGTCGTAATCGCATGATTGTTGATATCTGGCCATCTGGAGCGTCGAGAAACATCTGGTCACGTCGGTAGCTCGATGGGCATCTGATAGTGACTCGTGGCGGGAAGGCCCCAGCTCGCGACACCATCGGCCAAGTCTGGCCAAGAGAGGTCAAAGCGCTGTCACGGCAGCGGCGAGCGCGCGGCGTGATAGGGCCTAGTTCATGTCAGGCAAGGAGGAATATACGAGTGTGCTGCCCTTGTTCGTCGTTGGTCACGTCCCATGGCAAGTGGATAGTGGCGTTGCCTCTATCGCTATCGCGATCTTGACATGCGATGGCGAGCGACTATGGCACACTCACATGCAAAGGCCGAGTATCAAAGGCGGCGGAGATAGTGCCACATGCCACAAGACCTCGCGACCAAAAGCGGTGCAGGCGACTGCGGATCTGGAACGTTCTGCGCCCATTGGGCCCTTGCATCTTTACTGTTGTCATTATCATCTCGGCCGCCGTAATGTCGGCTCAATCCAGCGTCTAGCTTGTAGACGGCTAGTCAAAGAGGATATGCACCGAGGATTTTAGTCGCTCTTCATATCATTCACTCGTGTCAGAGGAGAGTGACGAAATGCAGTGCTGATTGATGACTGTTATATCTGCTAATTCAAGTATTTCCACGTGTGCCAAGAGCCATATCTAGTCCCCCCGGATACTATCATGATTCAATCGGTCAACGCCGGGCAGGGACGCAGGGACGTCATTTGGAGAGGCACCACAGCAATAATGCCAAGAAACCGCCGAAGCCGCGGTTGACCCACTTCGGGCCTCCCCCCTGGGGCCGGGTAGCGGCAAGCAAATGACGCGTGGAGTAGTAGGGCGAGAAGGATGTGCACAGCACGCACGTTTCCTGGGCCCTGCCTTGGCATCCAGAGGGCTGCGACTGTGTTGATCGGAGCCTCAGCCAACGCACCGTCACCGTACGTCTGGCCTGGCCCCAGACTCTACTTGATCCTCCCCCCTAACCGCAGCTCCCTCTTCTCTCAGTGGGTATATCTCAACTCAGTCCCACTCGTCCTCCTCTCTCTTTCTCTTCTCCTTTCTTGCTTTCCACCCATCTGGTCCACCCACCCACATACATGGTCATACCTACCCCCCTCTCCGATCCCGAGCCCGAGCCCGATATACGAAGCCATCATAATGGCCACTCCTCTCAACCACAACAACAACACCACCACCACCACAATCACAATGACCAGCTTGGCGCTGCTCACAACCACTCGAGTGGTCCACTCGACCATGACTTTGCCCCGCGTAACTTGACTGCCACCCCAGTCTCGCCCCCCATCGCGCCCACCCCGGAGAATGCCCTCTCACCCAGGATCATCCTCCCCACTCGCCGCCGCGCCACAACCATTAGCACTTTGAGCGACCCGGACTCGCCACCCGACGACGACGTTGATTTTGTTCAGCCCACGTACCTCGAAGGCTTCAAGGTGAG